GTACTAACATTATAGAATGATAGAATAGTTTCCCTTCTTTCTTCCTTTCGTGCTTTTCCTTTTTGCCCCCAAATTCACCGAATCTTAAAGCATACAATTGGAGCCAAGCCAAGCGGATTAAGCCAAAAGATCATCTGATAAGCCGAGTTGAAAATTGTGGGCTCGATTAATTGATAATGAACAAGGATTTAATAAATCAAGGGTGCATTGCATTCTTCGAATCCTGCTGAAAGTAAAAAAGTACTACCCGAGTAGGTAATGTAAACTCAAATTCAATTAGGGGTAAATACCTCGGTTGGTATCAAGTTCTGATCTTCGGATCGTCTCCCACCCATTGATAGATGACTATATCGGATAGAGCGCCTCGCTCCTAAAAGGTGGATGATGCGTACGTCGGTGACGGTGGGTGGCCCATGTGACTATTTCTACATAGTAGCCCTGTGCCGCAGCATTCTCCACATTGCTGTTACCAAACTGTCGGGTCGTCAAAAAAGTGGAGTCAATAGATTCCACAAATTCCCGCTATTCTCGAGAAGGAAAGTGACAAGGAAATGATCTAGTGGTTCAAGTGTTGGTAGTTCGACCGAAACTGTAGCTAGTTCAGCAGCATGTAGAGTGTATATAGACTAGCCTCTTGTCTGTATATGTGTAAGCGACCAATTCTATACCAACCATATCATAAGCTAGAGAGGATTGAGAGTGATTAATCATGATGGGATAAAGCGACAATTTTCGCTTCACGGCTACACTTGTGGAGGAATATCAGGCCCGAGTCTGTCTAAGATCGGAAGATGATATAACTGGAAAGATGCAGTATTACTTTTGTACTTGAGCGGTGTGATATGGGTGTTAAAATCTTACTTGTGAATGACTTGAGAGGGATTTTGACATCAAAGAATATTACTTCTCCACGGGTTCCCGCACTTTGGCATGCATTACATGCAGCGTATTTCGTATTATCTTCACAGCATTTTCAGCTGTTGAAAGCGTGGAAATGAGGCTTACACCGACAAGCTCTCGTAAATTTCATCCTGGATTTTTTTCCATGATGAAACGTTCGCAGGGGCTAACCACACAGCTGGAATTTCGATAGAGCTTTTGTTAAATGGCGGTAAAGAGAATAAAGCACGCCTAGTTCAAAGAGGATCTGCTAATTTCCTGGTAAATGCCGATATAATTTTGGGTATCTGGATATGTCTTGCTCGACGTGGATGCAAAGGTGCAGATGGTTGAATGTGAAGAACGAATTTTATTAATGTAAATGCGATGGCAGATGCAATGTGTAAGTACAACGAGCACAACAAGGTTTGGAAGATGCATATACTCCGTAGGCATGCATGAGCTTTGAACCATGGCAGAATCACGAATCGTGATGGATTGAAGTTCACCTCCAGGATCCTGACGATCACTCGCATCTATTTCCATAAATGCGTTTGGTTTGGTTCAGGCACAAGTGGAGTAGGGTAAGCACGAAGATAAAAAGGGTGAATGTGAAGATTGAATGGACCTGTTCGTATCGACGTTTGTTAATATTAGAGAAATGATTGGAGAAATGAAATTAATTCCTTGGTGGTGTTATCGAACTAAAGATCAAGGGACGATATGAGATTTTGGGATTTTAGTAAGATCTTAGCATCTTACAATGTAAGACTTGCACAGGTATATTTCCAATAAGAACCAAATGTTTTGAAGTGAAATTTCAAGAAAGAGTGGGATGATCGACTCTTCAAATATGCTCGAGGATGTCTACCAGGCTTTATTTGGAAAGTACCGAGTGTAGGTTGTCTATGTAGGTGTCTTATTATAAGTTAGGTGAGAGCCCTCATTGGATGTATTGAAATTGGCGAAAGTATGGATAATATGGATAAGTAGAAAGTCGGAGGTAGGTAATCTTAAATAGACACGGAGATTGAATTATGAAGGCTGGCATACATCTACAGTATTAATAAAAGACTAATACTTAACCAGATACATTAGCCAGATACATTAACCTTATTCATCCTGTAAAGCCTCACTTGTAGTAAACCTATCGTCGTCGGGTCAACAAAAACTTCAGAAAAATGACACACGGTGCATTTAGTGCCCGCATAAATTCCACACGAAAAGGGATCATGCCTGAAAGGCAGTGTAAAGATTTATAGAAATGGAAAGTCGAGCCCTTGTGCTCCCACACTTGTAGAACTTACATATTCATCCTCGATCCACTAAATCAATGAACCACTGCAATGGGATCATTGCGAAACATTCTAGAGGCTTCACCAGCATCCAATCATATCGGTCTTACGTTTCAACGCGGAAAATGATATCGAATCGAATTGATCTTCCGGGAATGAGGATCTGGGTGTGTATGTATGTATGTGTGTGTGTATGTGTATAGTATGTGTGTAGGTGATACAACATGTGCAACAACCTCAATGAAGAAAAGCTCATGCTCATATTACGCATCAGCATGAGCATGAACATGAGCATGAAATATTAGACAAAATGTAGAGTTGGTTGCTTGGGTACATGAGGTTAAACTATGCCGTACCTTTTTGGATCCATTGAAGATAAGACTCAGCAATGCTGGTGATGGCAAGACTTATTATTACTTTGAGTTAGTTGAGTCATTGATGTATGATATCATTTCTTCACCCGTCCATCGTAAAGGTTAATGTCTAATCCGTAGAGAGCTGGCTACTAGCTGCTAGCTGCTAGATACTCACATACCACATACCACATACCACATACCACATACCACACACCACATACCACCTTGTCTGTCTCCTTAATAATTGAATTACACCTTACTCCATACACCTGGGAAAGCAGCATCAAATGAATGGTTTGTGAAGGAAGGGTTATAAACTTCCTTCCTACATATTGTCTGTGCATTAAAATCTCACTTTAATGAGTTGCGCTTAATGATTTGATTACCCTCGAGCCATTCCGAGTTCATTACTCTATTATTCTCCACTTCTTCCCTACTTTTGTTTGGCTAAACTATTCCATTTCCTGACCATATCTCGCTCACATTCGAATTGACCTCGTCGAATGCCCGGGTCCTTTGTCGAGCACATCCGAGTTGGAAAGCTGTTCTGTTGATTTGATTTTATTTTCGGAATTAAGGAAAAGACACTGCCAAGCAAGACATGGGGCAGAGAGAGAGAGAAAGGAGTAAGACATCTTAGACAAGGCTTTGAACGGTAAGTTGTGCCGCTAATTTCATCCCGGCTCCGCCCACTTGGATCCTTGTGGTACAATATTCCGATACTAGCATGGGATAGGGACATGGAATAAAATACCTAGCTTTGCGCCTGTATCGTAGGGTTTCGGCATCGGTTTGGAGTCTGCTAACGAAGGCACTAGGCGCGAGGGGAATTCATTGGAGAATGAATTCGACATGATCGATTTGAGGGGGTTGTTACGGAAACGAAAGTCGAGATGAGGAAAAGGTTGAATGAATCACCAACATGTACTCCGTACACTTTCTTCGGCCGGGGTCTGTAACGACGAGCAGCAAGCCGCCAGCTGTTCTACGTAATCCGTAATTGAGGTCCAAGTCAAATACCCAAGTAGGTAGTCAATGATGAATTTGTTGGTGAACCCGACATACATTCTGCATACGATAGCCCACTTCCATCCACACTCAGACTCATTAGACCAACTACATTGGTAAGAAAGAGGGTGTAGCTATTTGCCAGCTACCCATTCTTCTCTGTACCTGTGCCTGTGCCTCTCATGCAAATGCAACCGGGTGGCGTGAAGAGTCGATTTGGCAAACGGAAGCATTTTAGTCTTCCCCAATGATGAGTATCCATGGTATCATAACCCTTAGCTAGCCTACAATGGCTACAAGAATGGCTAAGAAAAAAAGTGATTGCATGGACCATGACCATGGTGGCGTGAAGCGTTGTACTCCTACACAATCCCAATAACAATATACAACAATGTGCCTGTTTCCAATATAACACCCAATCAAGTAACCAGTCTTTCTTTTTTGGAAGGGACTTTTCCAACCCCGCTGATGGTGATCTCAACCTTCCTATAAGTACTGCGTGAGTGTAGCTAGAAATACGTCGTTCATTAATTTGCAGCTTCAACCTCTCCTTCTTCATTCCCTAGTATTGGTATCATAGAGTCATACCCAAGATACTTGGGCTAGATTTCCGAATTCCAAACATCTTACTACCTACCTACCTACCTACTACCTACTACCTACTACCTACCTACCTACCTACCTACCTACCTAGCAAGTACTTGCCGTACAACCACAGATCACCACCAATCACACAATCTGTCATCAGTTATTACACCTCTTATACTCATATCCTTCTTCTCTTTTGAAAACTATCTTCCAAGACCCATAGAAAGAAAGTGGGGAGCGATTCCTCTCCTTCTGCATCATCATCGTCTTCTTCTCCTTCGTCTTCTTCCTCCTCAATTGGCAATTGGTGTGGGACAGTACATCGTTGGCGGTGTCACACAGCGATCGCACGGAAATATTGCAGCACAGTACAGCACAAGTACAGTAGTAACCTTGCAATTGCTGCACAGTGCACAGTGCACAGTGCACAGTACACACTTCACAGTACATACTAGGGGAGTTTACAATACTATCGTACAAGAGCTCTCCACTCGAGGTTAACACTTTTGGGAAAGAACACCACCCAAGAATCCCAATTTGGAGTCCTACTTGGCAGAAGTGGGGGTTTGGAAAGCAGAGTACACGACCAAAAACCAAAACCCAGATTGATCCATTTCTATACATACACCCATACAACCAACCAATATAGTCATTCAATCATTCATTCATTCATTCATCCATCCATCCATCCACCCATCCATCCATCCATCCATCCATCCAACCACCCAACCATCTCAATCTTTCTTTCAAAATAGACCTTCTGAAACCTCGTCCGGTTCTGAGGGTTATATCAAAATAGTGGATTGTTAATATATCATTTGGACTTTGAAAATTTTGGGGACGGTCGATCATTTTGCTTCAAGGCCCATGCTTGAAAGCTTCAGGGCTATTGCTCTCTAGACTCCTCTCCTCTCCTCTCTCTCCCAATTTGAGTTCCCTTCAGCCTTCATCGGAGCTCTTGTGGGTCGTTTCGATTGTAGAACTGAACCAAAATCTGTCCAGCTTTCCATAAAGACCATCAGCCTACCCACAAAGCTATTTTCTAACCCACCCAGCATTCACTTAGCATTCACCCATTATTCACTGCTACTATTTGCTACTGTTTACCACTCTTTCCTCATCATTTACCACCAATTACCGCCACCGTCATCCCTACTACCAATCACTGGACAAGCCATTGACACTTGACCCTACCCTACCCTTGGACGCTATAAAACTTGCGAATATCAACCCCAGAACCGAGATATATCACTAGCATTATCATTATCCACAGGCATTTACCGGTTACCTGTACGCCCTAACTAAAAAAAGAAGTCACTACAGAGAGCTACAGCGAAGCACGACAGGGGCCATAAAAAAAAGTCAAAATAGCTTTACCGCCGCCAGGCAACTAATACCAAGGAACAAGCTTCAACCCGTAAGCAACTCAATTCATAGTTTGGACACTGCCTAGCATTACAATTTCGCGCGGCTCTTTGGATCACTTATAGAGCAACATTATTCGACAACCACTCTTGTACTTCTATGGGATACGGCCATATATTAGATTATTCGGGTTAAGTTCGAATCGGCCAAGAGACAGGGAGCCAGGAAACGCAATTCAGGCGATATACTCGAATAAATAAAAGCATAGTGGTTGCATGGCCATATATACCATTCGATTCCCTCAACGTTCCCAATCGACCAGCATATACTGGAGAAGAACTCGACATCAATATTGCGGTATCATATACGCAAACTTTAATCTATGCTACGAAGCTAGCAGAACAAGCAAAGGCTGTTCGCGACAGATCTTAAGCCGGCTTTCACTTAATGATTGTTGCAATGGCCATGGCTAACATTTTGTACGTACTCTTCATCCAAGCTACTCCCAGAGCCGTTTTCTGGGGTATTGGGAGAAGCCTTCGCACATGCCAATCGCATTGGCACCTATCGAACGAGAATAAGGGCTTCCCGCTCTCCTGCTCTTGCCTTGACATTTCCGAGCTTTCATGCATGCGCTGACTGAATTGATTACATAGATCACTTCCCCCTGCCGCCTCTTCGGATCACCAATTGCCTCCGCCCGATTATTACGAGAATGGACGCTTGTACCATGGATTTCACAAAGAGAAATACATGTTTCCTTGCGACGAGGTAAATGCGCCGGGTTTTGCCAGGTGGGATTTTACCCGCGAATATATGCTGATATTTGACCACCCATAGGACGAAAAGGACCGCTATGACATCTTCCACAAATTCTTCCAAGTCGCAATGGGGGGAGTGTTACACTCTAGGAATACAAAATTCACGAAGAATTATGATGGACCACGAATTTTGGATTTGGGGACAGGTACCGGAATATGGGCGATCGATATGGCCGAGTAAGAATAAGATTTTGTCTCGTTTGAGGCTGTAATCTGCAAAAAAAAAAAACACATGGAACTGACATCTTCGGCATATAGCAAATATGGTTCAAATAATGGTACAGGTGAAGTCCTTGGGCTTGACCTAGCTAAGATACAACCTGCAACGTAAGAATTTCTAAGTTATCTCTTCTGATCCATAAATATCATATACTAAGTCTCAATTGAACCAGTATTCCTGACAATCTACAATTTTGGCAAAGAGATATAGAGTCGCCTTGGTTCGGACTTGAAACTGAGTCGTGGGATATGATTCACATACGGATGCTTTCTGGGGGTATAGTTAGCTGGCCCGCATTATACCAAAAGGTATGGAGGTAAGGCTTCCCCATTTTCCTTCTTACAGCATATGACTTCAGCTAATACATACTTAAAGATATCTTAAGCCTCAAGTGGGTCGCTTTGAACAGGTGGAAATAGATTTCACGCCTCGTACAGATTTTGGAGAAATTCCACCTGACTCTGCGCTGGCTACATGGATGCGGCTGCTTTTCGATGCTACTCATCGCAATCGCCGGCCTCTAGCTTACAACGCAGAAACCGGGATGATGCTTCAAAACCAAGGGTTTCTCGATATTCAGGAGGAAGTTATTCAGATCCCCCTTAACCCATGGCCTGATGATCCACGAGAAAAAGATATTGCGAGATGGTATAATTTAGCCCTTACCCAAGGACTAGAAGCAATGACGCTTGGACCTTTATGCAGGATGTTTAATTGGACGAAAGATGATGTCACAAGGCTGATTACAGAAGTCAGGAGAGATGTTTGCTCGAGGAAAATTCGTGCCTACAATAATTTGTGAGTATTCCCCCCCGTATAATTAATTTCTGCGAGACCTTGTTCGGTGATGTTTTGGGTATTCAATCAACCACGGCCATCCTCATTTTGCAATTTTATCGAGACATTAAATTACTAAACTTACATGAAATTCAGGCACATATGGACTGCACGGCGGCCTGGGGCGTCGGAAGTGACTATCCCTTTATAAACACTTCTAAAGCTTATGGGATTGGAAATTGGGAATGGGGAGGGATTGGCCAGTGTGGTGTCGATCGGCGGACTTTAAGTTTCTTTCGGACGTCGCGACAAATTTGAACAAGGGTGTTGCGCCAGCGTCTCATTTCGGACCTCGCCTTTCGACCTGACGCGCTTTTGAGACCAGAATGGATGACGGATGAATTTTATGGATTTGAGTTTGTGCGCATTATTGTTAGATGCGCGCGCATATATCATCATGCACCTCTAAGCGCTTGCATGAACAAGCAACGCCATTGGAAGTTCGAAGGGTGCGGATGTACCAGCGGCCAATTGACCGGAGATTCTAGGTAGATCCACGAAGGATCTTATAATGGAAAGGCGAAAGTCGAGTGTCAATTTATACGTCGATTCTCAATTCTCACAGGATGGTTAAGAAATGGGGCGGACCGAAGCGTATACGATGTGGTGGGCCTTATCATGGATTGGCCCGAGTACAAACACAACAGGCTGTTGCTCCCAAGACTCCGGGTCAAGCTTGCCTACGTAGGGTTCATGAGTTACACGAGACCTTGATAAAATAGGAAGGCGCAGCACAACATGAACCCGACAATTCTTGGACTGCATGCTACAGAAATTGGGTAATTTAAAAGCGCAAATTATCAGTGGTTTTCTGACGTGTTGCTTGTTGCCGTGGAAAAGAGGAAAAGAATGTGCTGGCCGTTGCACAACTCATGAAGGTTACATTTTTAATTTCAAAATATGGGAAAGATCAATTGATTGGCCATTTTTGTCTCAACACTAAAGATCCGAGATGATGGTAGCGAGGGCCAGCAATTAAAGCAGCCGAAGCACGGAACGTCCAAAAAAATACCTACGCACACTCTCTATTACTTTCTTATCCAACGTTTTGTTTTCAGCATAAAAAGAAGAACAAATTTTCCGGGGTCTAAGAATGGAAACCTTAGAAGGATTGGATGGGACTTCTCAGCCGGTGGATACACGGTTAGAAGCAGATCAGCACGTACCTCTATTTTAAGTTTCGCCTGCAGCTTTTAACGATATACCCCATGTGTTTCTGTTATTATCATTATTATTCCTCCATTTGAATGGATGGTTCATTTTTTGTTTGTTTATTGTTTCACGAATATCAGCATGGCCATAGCATATCTTTATTTTTCTTGATGATTCCCCTTTGCTGTATTCCTGTTTTTTGTTAAAGAAAGAATTGAAATTCCAACCTTGCATGCATGCATAGAATTGGATTGATTGAAAGCATTTTATTTAAAAGGTGGATGGCGTGGATAGGCGAATGAATAAATGAATGGAAGTCGGATTTATACACCCGATTCTGCAACATCCGACAGGAAGGAATATCCAATCGATAACATACATTTTCTCTCTTTTTTTTTGTACACTACAGAGTTATACCTAGGCTATGTATATCGCACATCATAACCAATAATAGTAAAAGTGGACCAAACCTTATCATCCTTGCTTAAATGAAACGCTGTGCGTGGTGGATGCGTGGTGCGTGGTGCGTGGTGCGTGCAAGGCAGATCGGTCTAATCTATTTATCGGTCTACCTAAGCGCAAGGCAGATTTCCCTTCAATACCTACCTAGGTATGGAGTGGGTAAGGGTAAGGCTTAGTTTTTTGTGCATGGTATGGATGGATGGGATTTTTATGGGGAATGTTATTGGTTTTGGTGTTGGTGTTGGTGTTGGTATAGTGGCATTGCCGCGCTTATTTTATTTTATTTTGCTTGCTTTTTGGAGGGATGGATGGGGTTATGAGATGGGGTTATGAGATGGGGATTATAAGATAAGGGGGGGGATGAGATGGGATGGGATGGGATGGGATGGGATGACATGGGGTGAATGGTTTGGTTTGGTTTGGGTTTGATAGGTATGGTTTGGTTTGGTGGATATAATGGATAGGATGAGGTGAGGTGAGGTGAGGTGAGGTGAGGTGAGATGGCTAGGACTGGGGTGTTTGGGTTTTGAGGGTTGAGATTGGGATTGGGATTTTTGAGGGTTTGGATTTGAGTTTTGGTTGATTGATTCCTTGAGATTTTTTGGAATGGTTGGTTGATAAAGGGTGGTTGGGTGTGGGAGTGTGGAAGTGTGGAAATGTGGAAATGTGGAGGCGAGCAGGTGAATTATTTCGAGGGGGTTTTCCAGGGGGGTTTCGAGGTTTCTTGGTGAGGATGTCTAGGGGTTTTGATGGAGCCTTGGGGAGAGACGGAGGATGGGAGGATATAAGGATATTGAGAACGTAAGGATATGAGGATGTGAGGATGTGAGGATGGAGGATGTGAGGATGAGGATGTGAGGATGTGAGGATGGAGGATGTGAGGATGGAGGATGTGAGGATGTGAGGATGTCTGGATTGGTTGTGGGGTATTTGTGCAGCTTTTACCCTGGTTTTTATTGGTTTTGATTTTGATATTGCTTGATAGGGTGGGTGTGGTAGTTAGTATGATATGGTAGGGATGGTAGGAATGGTAGGTATGGTAGGTATAAGTTGGGGAGAATAATTTTGGGAGTATAAGTTGGAAAGAGTAAGTATGGTATGATAGGATAGGGTTTGGTTGGGTTCGGTTGATGATGGAATGTAATGTGGTGGGATGAGATATCAAGCCCTGTGTTTATTTTTGGTGATGAGACAACCAGAACATGGGGTATTGGGATATAGAATGTAGCAAGTAGGAATTTATCGATGGAAGATAAAAATTAGGAAATGGGAGTATGGAGCCAGGAAATAAAAGATAATGAATGGAAAATGAAAGATGTAAGATTATAACACAAAGTAAAAGGTAGAAGACAGAAGGTAGGAGTTAAATAATGGGTATTTAAGAGAGAATAAGTATGTGATGCTTTGAGGACTGGAGGGGAAGGAAGAGGGGTTGAGGGGAGAATTTTTCGAGCAGTGCTTGGTTTTTGTGTATTTTATTGATGGTAGGTGGTAGGTTAGATATAAATTTAGTTATAGTTAGTTAATTATATAGTATTGGAATTGGGATTGGAGGGAAAATGGGAATAAGTAGTGGATATTTGATGAGGAATTGAGAGAAGAGGGAGAAAAGAGAGAAGCTGGGGCTTAATGATTTGGATTTGGATTTTTGAATCTATATAGTAGATGATATTTAGGTAATAGGTATATGAGACTAGATAAATATGTAAGTGAGTAGATGTAGGGAAGAATGAATAAAAAGATATAAGAAGAAAAAAATATAGAATGAGTGAGTGAGGAAGCGGGTGAGGAAGTGAGTGAGTTTGATATATTGAACATAATATGATGTGATAATTGTATTATGATGGAAATTATATAATATATAAAATTTTAAATTAAAAAATATATATAAATATGAGTTTACTTTCACTAAATATTACTTTTGTATTTATCTCGAGGCATTTAAAATCTTTTTTATTATATTTTCACTTCCTTTTATATAGATTTGAATCTATAATAAGTCACTTGGTATTTTAGATTCCATGGACTATGATAGAGAGTCGACGGATGTAGTTATTGATTCTATTGTCGTTATTAGTTAAGATCTTTATCATTAAAACCAGCTACCCAGCTATACATCTACTTACTTCACACAGTATGAAATATCTCGGCGCCGCGGGAATTTTATATAAATCTTCCTTTCATAACACTATAATATTGTCTTTGTGTTTTCTATAATACTGAGTTAGACTACTACTTGTATAAGAAGGTAGGAAGATATCACGAGAGCGCTGAGTGTATGGGTGAAGCGATGGGAGAAAAAAATGCCTTTTTAGTGGGATTTTATAGTTCCTGAGAGATTTTTCTTTATCTCCTTGTAGATTATAGATTATTATATTTGAGTATTAAAGTACTTGGGTGTTAGATTTATGGGTACAGGACTGGTGGATTCAGATGGCTGTTGAATTATGCGGCGGATGAGATGGACCTTGCGGCTGAACCGTGGATTGTGAATTGATCTTGTTGTGTTCTATTTTATATTGGATTTTTAGAACAAGAGATTGGTGTTGCTACGTTAATATCGATGTGCTTATGCATGGATTTAGGATGACAATGGTGATAGGACTTTCTTGGGTGACTTTATTTTGCGAGGAACTTACTTGTAGCAGATTTTGCATGGCATGAGGTAGGATGGGATGGTAGGAAAGGGGAAGGGGGAGAGGGGGGAAGAGGAAGGGAAAAAAGGAAGAGAAAGGGGAGGAAAGTGAAGAATGAAATAGATACATATTGTATTGCGTAAGACTCTACCTTCATGATAAGTGAATAGGCAGTTATGCTAAGTCTAGTACCCTACTTTTGGACCACCCTTAATATGGATTATCTTTTTACATTAAAAATCGTGATTTTCATCTATTAATAACTTTACAACCAATTAATAGAATTTGATAAAATTTGAATGGTAGATTCATTATATAATTATAACTCAATTCTGAAAAATTTGGATTTTTTGAAATTAATTTCATTGAGATTTATAACCTTAAATTTTGTGACTTTTGATTTATATAGGATTTATATATAAATTTACAAAATCTTTAAAATCTTGAATAACTTTTCAACAAAAATAATTATAAATAAATTATAAATTCCTTTTTCGAATATTTATATTATAATTAATCAAATAGATCAATTTATTTTAAAAAATATTTTACAAAAATCCTTTTAATCAAAATGTTATGATTTCTAATCTTTACAGAATCTAAAAATATTAATAAAGATTTATTTATATTATTTAAAATTCAAAATATTGATCTATTACACAATATTTAATCTAAAAATCTCAAAAGAATTTATAGTTTATTTTTAGCAATTTTTGTTGAAAAGTTAGTCAAGATTTTCAACATTTTCAAATTTGTATATAAATCTAATATAAATTGAAAATCGTAATTTCAACTTTCAATTTCTCAATCAATAAAATCATAAAAAATCTCAAAAATCTCAAAATTTCAGAATCCATTAATAATTATATAATAAATCTATAATTGAAATTTCAATTCATTTCATTTATTCGTTGTTGAATTATTAATAGTTGAAAATGACGATTTTTGGTATAAAAAGGTGATCCATATTAGGGGTGGTCTAAAAATAGGGTACTAGACTTAATACAAACTATCAAGAAGATATCATTAAAGTATTAAATAAGCACGAAATTCAGCACCTAAATCTCCCATACCACAAATCCACATTTAAATTCTAAGACAGTAAGTCTTACCGTATTAACTTTCACATGTGCGAACCGATATAGAAGCACTACCATACTCATATTCCACATCCGAGACCAAATCGGCTCGGTTCTTTATATATTGTAAAAGTGGTAGGCCGAGATACGTGCATCTCGATAACATATTGTAAAAGGGAGTTGAAAGAGAAAGCTGATTAGATTATATCGTAATATATCACTTATGGAAAAAACAGAATTCATAATAGTTTTGGGGTTAAAACTATATAAGTTCAAATATATATATATAGAAAATTGATTGTTATAAAAACGAGAAGCAAAAGCTTTTCTTTTAAATCTAATTATAGAAGGTTATATAATTGACTAATTAAAAACCTCTATATATTTGACTTATAATTCCAATTTTCTTATAATATACTAAACCTATCCGAGTTTTATCATGTCCCTTCTCTGTGTATAGAATCGCAATGAGAATTTCTTCCTCTGTAAGAACTACTTTTATGTTCTCAGAGAGAGACAGAGAGAAAGAGAAAGAGAGAGAGAGAGAGAGAGATTCTGTAATATTAATCTTGCAATTCTTCGGAGAGAGGAACTAATAGGATATGTATATAACTCGAATTTGTTGCACGATGAACCGGAATATTGATTTGGTTTGGATAGCTTCTTCTCTGTGTATGCGAGGTGATCTGGTGGATGGGATTTGGTGCGTGGATATATGAAGGAAAATTTAAGACTTATGAAGCGTTGTATATAGGTCTTCAAATCGATCTTGTGTGTATAATTCTGTGGAATTTGGCAATTAACCATTGTTTAAGTAGCAAGATATATTTCTGACAAGTGGTAAGTTCTATATTTGGGGTTACTGCTATTTTTGCGTTTTATCGAGCTGGCTTTCACTTGTGATTGGACAATAATGAATGACGGCGGATTCACTTCTCATACCCTTAGAAGTGAGAATCGGGAATATTCAAGTGATAGAGATATATATGCGCGCACTTATATTATTGCCAACCTACGCGATGAAATAGGAGGTGATTAGTGAGGATCCATGGTTGTAGCAGGTTGAAAGAAAGAGCGTTTTTTGAGTGTTAGATAGAGTGGAGGAATGTTTCCATGATGTATTATACAATATCTGTACTATATAAATAGATCCGAAAATGCATTGAGTTCGAAGCGGGCGGTTTCACGTCCTTCCGGGCGTTGGTTCTCAGAATCTAACCTCAATACGGCGTTGTCGCTTGTTTCTGAGATGATATCATTTTACCAGTAAGTTGAACATATTCTTAGTCCCATTCCTTCATGTAGAAATATGGTAGGATATAATTACTTTTGATAGGCTGTGGCGTCAACATATCATATGCCATTGCCTCAATGCCTGGGATATCCTCCAGTTTTAACGATTTGATCACAACTGAAAGGTCCTGCAAGATGAGCTTGCCACTAAATGAGCAGTGGTGCTGTATCTGTAGGAGGACTGACCTCCGCCGCCGGCAATATCGACAACAAATGGACGCTCTAGATTCTTCTTTACCTGGGTCTCTAAGTCTTGGAAAGGAAACAACCCTAGAATCGGGAAGTTCTTGTCTGAATTCTTTAGCGCAAAGTCTGCTAACAGTCTCTGTTGAGAATCCATGTCGAGTGTCTCATAATACGCCTTTCCTTCATGGCCCATGGCAAAAGAGAAAGGGCTTTGGGTCGCACGACTTAGGCTGTCTGCGTACTTATGCATTTTTACGTGGTTGGGGAGTTCCCCCACTGCCCGGATGTTGTCGAACAATGTGCAGGTGAATCCACCGAGCAAGGTTGGAGCAAATTGACGAGAGAGCTCGTTATGCATATATATATCTCTCTCTGCCTCTTCAGCGATTCCGTTTGTGACAAGAACCCGCATTGTTCTCGTAATAAGAGACGTATCCACTTCACAAGCTCTAGCAAGATCAGCGGCAGCAATGGTCCTACTCGTAGGCAATTTCTTAAGTGCATTGATGCGAATGAGGACAAACAAAGCTGCTAAAATGCTGGCATCTTCAATAAACCTGGTCATCTTGTCATATGGATCTTCAAGAACAGCTTGGAGATTTTTGGTGCATTGAAGCAAGGAGAGACGGCTAGCTGGCGTCCCGTCATAGGTATTCAAAGTCCTCAGTAGAGAGTTGAGCTCCGTCGAAGCACTGTTAATGGTTGCCGTGTTGACTGTAGTACTGCTAGCCATGGTGGTGACTCTCAAAAGAGAGGTATAGACCTTGTTTGTTTCCCGGTGAAAAATCGTTGTTACGTGGGCTCACACGACTTTGTTATCATGGGCTATATTTTCTCAAAGGATTCAACTCTCAGTTTTGTGTTCAGGTACTGGATCACCGAAACCCAACAACTTGAGGGAATGCTCCGGGCTCCGAAACTACACTCATCTTTTATCTTCAGGATTCCTCATTTCTCACTGCTACTTATATGTGTGTCACACAGCAGCATTGATATGCGGGCAATTTAGGTCGTTCGTATTGCGATTTGTTGACCAAGTTCGGAGGCAGCGGGGCGCAGGCCGCAGGCCGCATATTTAACGGCATTTCGCAGATGCTCGCAAGAAACCATTAAAGGGTCGGGTTATACGACATATAATCTTCCATATGTGTAGAATTCTTTAGAAGTGGAAGAATTGTAGTACAAGCCTGCATAAATAGCTATGACCACATTTATTACCCCGTGTGTATTTTTGGCAGACTTTCCAGAAGATAGAAGTTGGCGACGTCGAAGTATTGCATTATGCATAAACCGTGAGATTTTCATGATCTAAATTGCTTGAGGATCAGTTCATTCTGTGGCGGGGGGAATGCCAAGGCAAATCCATCCCCCAGGTAATGTTTAGTGATTAATATGTATGCACATAGACTAAAAGGGAGAATCAAGATCCAAATACCTGTTTGAATGAACTTGGAAGATTGTGAGATATGTAATGGATGCGTGCTGGATTAATTCCACCTCACTCTACACTACGAGGCTTGCAAGCGATTCACAATCGATGTCTCCTGGTGAGCTCCAACCACACAAGAGCAATATTAGCTGCATTTTAATCTAGATTTAAGGAGCTCAAATAGCTATTTGATCAATGGTCTACCTCAAATTGTTACTTTAACACCTCAACCGCGATTTGATATTCCCAAACTTGACATCCGATCAGACCTTTATTTTCCTTTCTTTATGCAAACGGAATTTAGATTCCGCAATATTGTTCGAGGAACCCTTTGACCCAAGCTCCTTGTCCTGCCAAAATGTCGTTCCCGTTTTTGATACGAGGTACTGCCAATGTCTTTGCAACCTTTAAAGCATTCGAATGGGCCTGCTTGATTATTGGCCTGGTAAGTTGCTTAGCGCTTTTGCAAATATCCCTGGATAGTAGCTGATAAGACAGACTATTTGTTACTTTATTGCCACAACCTTCTATAACCTTTTCTTGCACCCTTTGTCGGATTTCCCAGGCCCTATCCACTGTCGGGCATCCATTTTCCCGTGGGCGTATCAATTTCTTCGCGGCAAGCATCCATTCTCTGTCCTCCGTCTCCACGAAAAATATGGACCAGTGGTCCGCATATCTCCTTCAGAAATCTCTTTTACGGACACGGAGGCATGGAAAAATATCTATGGTGCCTCTGTTGGGAAGGAAAATCCGAAGTACCGGAAATTCTACGCTGGCCTGGCTTTCAATGGCGTACTATCGGATGAAGTCTCCGCCGCAGAAAAAAAGTCTCACAAAATCCTAAAGAAATTTTTGCCAATGGATTCTCGGAAAAAAGTCTAAAAAGACAAGAGGGAATGATTATGGGACATGTAAACTTACTCATTGAGAAACTCCGTGAAGAGAGTGAAGGCGTACCGGATGCCTACAGCGAACATGGAAAGTCCGAACGCAGGTCCGAGTGGACGGTGATAGATGTGACGGACTGGTTCTCCTGGTTTACGTGTGATGTGATTGGAGACTTAATCGTTGGGAGATCATTCAATTGCTTGCAAAATTTAAAGATGACCCCGTATATCAGATTTCTTTTTAAGGCGGGGGAGGTGGGAGGTCGATTTATTGTGCTATGGTACTTGGGTCTCAGAAGAGTAGTATTAGCTCTACTCTACATGGTTGGAGAACGTTTTCTACAAGTTCTGGAAGAAACAAAAACGATGCTGAGGAGCAGAATGGACACTCCTAGGGGAAGAAATGACGTGGTTGAGCCTATGATTAGAGCGTATCAGCATGGTGTACGTCATTCTTTGCCACTGAATTCAGGAACGGGAATCCCACATGCGCAGACTAACTCTTCATAGGATCTCACGTTCGACCATGCGTTTGGTGCTACGAACAGCTTGATAACTGCCGGGTCAGAAACTTCGGCTTGGGCTCTGACAGCGTTTGTATACTGCGTTGCTAACGGCCCGGCGTGTCTTGCCAAGCTGGTCAACGAGCTTCAATCGAAGTTTGACTCAGAGGATGAAATCTGTTTGGCTAAAACAGAGAAACTGGCTTACTTGAATGCATGCATCAAGGAATCAATGAGACTGTACCCCTCGGTTGCAGAAGGTCTTCCACGGGTGGTAATAAAAGGAGGCCGGGTAATAGCCGGCAAATATATCCCAGAAGTAGTAAGTCTACCAAGCATGTTCGGTATCACAAGCTTGACCTTGAAAGCTGACTTCGCTGGCCAGTCTATCGTGTCGATCAGTGTTTATGCTGCCTCGCATCTATGTGAGAATTTCCGGAAGCCTTTCGAATTCCATCCCGAGAGATTCCTCGGTCATAAGGGATCTGCAGATGACAAACTAGAGGCATTTCAGCCTTTCTCAGTCGGACCTAGGAGCTGTGTTGGTAGAAATTACGTGGCAGAGAATGCCGTATCCCTGTCTTCCGATACTAGATTATTTGTGTTGTTATTGCAGTGCGTAATTTCTAGGCTATAATTGAGCTAACTTGTTTTCCTTTTAGTCTCTTTTATGCAAGCATACGTTTGATTATTCCCAATTTTTTGTGGAATTTTGATATTGAGTTGCATGCCAAGTCAAATAGCTGGGCCACGCACCAGAAGGTGTACCTCCTCAGCCAGCATAGGCCTCTTGTCATGTGGCTAAAGCCAGTTGTCAGGTGTTCTAAGAATAATGAATAGGGGAGTCATCCTTCCTCTCAGCGTCTTACGTTTAACGAGAACGAAACAAAATCGCGATATCTGTGAGATTTTCCTTTCCCTCCAATTTTTTCTTGATTTATTTGATTACTGGTGCACTTTGCGCATTTTGCGTTCTTCGAGCGTTAAGGCGCATTCAGCTGTTTACCGTAGGAAGAGCCTGGTGCATGGAAAGACACAGATCCAGGTAAATATACAGGGCATGTGATGTCAGTTACGCGTCGTCGAACTACATACTGTATTTGGATTGCGGTTTATAGGAAGAAGTGGTCCATACAGAGATATGAGATGTGCCAAGGCACTTACTGCATGATGAGATATCGATATTAAGTAAAGGCATGGCAGTTCAAGAGTAAACCACATCTCCTGCACTATACCTCGATATATCGTGGCTTAAGTGTGCGAAAAATCCGAGGCTCATGCAACACATGTAGCTGATTGAGTTCGCTGTAAAATGTTGAAGACTCGTGCCCCTGACCGAACTCAACTTGGAACAATACTGTTCCGTGCAAATATATATTAGCAGCTGAACTAGCAGTGCAAAGGAACATGCAACTGGCTGTAAAGCCAGAGCCCGTTCTTAATTTTGAAATATCCCACAAGGGAACCCAAATTTACCGGAGGCATCTCCATACCCCTCTCCAGCTTGATGGCCCGCGCCATCTACGTCGTCAGTAAATATCATTTCACATTGACCACTTAAATGCCGGAACACTGCAACAGGGATGTAAGTAACAATGCGGTGTACCCTGTCCCCCGATCGCGCAGCATGGGCCATCTGTCTTGCAGCCCGCGGCACGCGTACAGAAAGCCTTGCATGCTACTGCAGAATTATATGCATTTACAAAAGCTTGGCTGCTCGGAAAGTGGAGAAACCAGCATACGAAATGCCATCCTACCGAACAGGTAGTCTTGCGTTCTACGGCATGAGGAGGTTTTATAATCGAGTGGTGGATACATAGAAACTGAAACATTACATTAAATCCACATCAACTGCGTATTTACTACGTCAAACAAAAGTTAACACAAAGGGAAGTAAGCGAGATATTGTGTTCGGATATCTAGAGATCCACTATTTTTACATACCCAGATCATGTATGTATATGAGATTGACTAGACAGATGATTCCAGACGCTTATGAAGCACTTTATGTACTATAATAGTATCATCAGTACGTCTGCTCTATAATGTGCTATTTCGGGTCAGCGGAAATGAAAAACTAAGTCTGAAAAGCAGAGTGGGCACTCTAAAATACATGGACAGGTGAAGGTTGATGCGCATGCATTTCAATCCGGAAATGTAGGAGCATGCTTTCAAGTCAAAACTGTGGATGAGCTATTGAGCTGCATATGACGTAACTTCTATTCAAGAATCGTTACTCATTCCACTGCAAATCCCAATCTCAGACTTTCCACCCAATCATACCTTTCCTGGATATTTCCCCTTCGTGGCGTTACCTACAGCTACAGCCACCAGCACGCGGACAACTAATAAGTCTAATACCCACTTTTCGGGCCACCTCTAATTTGGGCCACTTTTCCTCATCAAAAATAACAAAAATTAACATTTATAACTTCTTTATTTATAAATCTAATTTTCTAAAATTTGCAATATAGATTTATTATTTATATAATAATATATTCTAAAAATTTTCAGATTAAAATTGAATCTAAAACTTCACTTTCTGATCACTTTTAATTCTAGTCACTTTTTTATAAAAAAAAATAACAAAAATCAATCTTTATAACTCTCCTATTTATAAATATAATTTGATGAAATTTGAATTATAGATTTATTACTTATATAATAATAAATATTATATAAATCAAAAATCAAAAAATTTAAATTTATAAATCTTAACAAAATCAATTTTAAAAAATCTAAAATTTTCCAATTTTTTTATAATTATATAAATATACAATTCAAATTTCATTAAATTATAACAATTAATTATAAAGTTTTTAACAAATGAAAATGATGGTTTTTGATATAAAAGGATGGCCTAAATTAAGGGTGGCCCGAAAGTGGAGTACTAGACTTACGGGCCAAAATACTCCGGGCCAGTTCTTTCAATCACAGCCTCGCTTGAGCTTGCTATTATTCTTTCCGTTCTGGACTATTTCCACTCTACTTGTCATCTTCCTCTTACAGTACATTACAATTCCTACATTAGACTTGTCTAAACACTAATACGTATTGGAAACCATACAAATCGATTCAGCTATAATATATAAAGATCTAGCCCTCTTTTGAAGAAAGCAACCGGTCGGAAAAATATTGTCAATACCAATATTAACTACTACATTGAAAGACATATCCGTGTTTTGCTATCTATTTAAGCATTCACACAAACTCAGTCGGAGTGTATTAGATAATTTGACACTGAACTTGCTTGCTTCAGACGATCTTTTTTCACTTCTAATTTTGTTCTGTAAGAGATTGAAGAGGAATCGGCAGCCATGGGTAAAAATTCTGAACTCAATGGTTATGAAACTGGCAAGGAGAAGCTGACGGAGGATTTATCTCAACTTCTAGACGATCTTGATAGAGATGTAAAGATTCAGATATTTGGGAGCTGCTCCATAGCATGTGAGGCGATGTACAAGGAGACTCTTAGACGTGGACTTGAGTCGCTAATCGGCACCATCTTTACTGGAGACAGCAAAACCTGGGACGATGCAATGGAATATGGTCGGCAGGTCATTCTTGCGCCTCAGGACACTCAGCGAAGGGCATCATCTCCGTGGATTCGTTCTTGCTCGGAGTTACATAGTGAGCTCATAAAACTCTTTGGCCCACAGATCATCAATGCTGCTCGGCTAGGAACTGCTTCTATTATCGCAAACCATTACAACGGTGATAGAGAGGCAATTTCTCACGTTAACAAGAAGGAAAGCTATATGCGTCACCGCCATGAAGCTAAGCTTGGAGCGGCCTTTTATCCTCGGTCAAGTCCACTTGTCACGGGATGCTACCTGAGTGGAACACTCCCCTGTTCTTTAGCTCTCTCATCATTCCTTCCTGTGGATAAAGCCGTCCAGGCAGCACAACTCTCTCACTTATCTTTATGTGACGACTATGGCAGCTTCACGCACGCAGACTATGACGTCCGGCTGCGCATGATTGCCCTTTCAGCCGGTGTGGCATACCAGTACGGCGGGAGAGTCATCAACATTTTCGTGGACGGAACAGCTCTACAAGCACTCGGAATTGGAATTGAGACACCTCTGTCCGTTGAGGCTGCTATGGCCTGGAGAGCGGTCAGTGGGTGCACGACGGTGTATAGCAAGTACAACTTCGAGGGGTGCGATCTTCAAGATGGACTGATCGGACCCATTTCCATGATGGCTGCACATGACCTGCTTGATTGGCGAAGCGACACAGCCGCTGGCAACCACGAGAACGGAGTCTCAGCAGTATATGGGCTTGGAAATGAGGCCGCATTTCACACCTATTTGGAAGCTCTTCTCAAGATGATACTCCGTGGTCCTCGCTTTGGCATGTACGGCATTGGATCCATGATATATATGCATTATACGGTAGCGCGATATGCGTCATGGGAATATCACGGCAAGCATGGAGCGGCTTGTAATGAATGTGTAGACCTTCTTCGTTCAGCCACAGAAGGGGCTGGTCTTAAATGGGCACCAAAGCCACCACCTAGCAACTACGAAGACGGTGAAGAGGTGCGAGAATGGGGTAGACTTTGGACTGATCAATTCATAGACAGAGGACTGATGCAGGAAGCTGTAAGCTGGTTTCAGTATCTGATCTCATCCGGCAAGATATGGCTATTCGATGTCTTAGCCGACGCTGTAAATCCAGTTGACGATGGCACTGATTGGGTGTAACGACGCTTTCGTGTCAGTGGTGATGTTAATTTCGACTCGAATTGGAAGTATATGTCTGCACATGAAATGAGGGAAAGATCCCCCGTGGTTATTTAGTGTTACGAGGGATGCGATCTAGATCACGTGGAAGTGGCCTGGATCCTCGAAGGGTTTATAACTAGGCGTCAAGTAGGGGCTTTTAAAGTAATATCAATGGTTGCAATTCGTAACTAATAGTAGAGTATACTAAATGATTGATCTTGAGTACGAAGCTCCTATATACAGGAAACCCCTCTGGTTTATATAGATCTTCGTATCCTGTAGAATCCTATAGACCTACGATTCGTATGGACCTACGATTCGTATCCTTGTATATATAGGGTCCATCATATGATCTCTTAGATCAGACTATAAATCCGAGCTTGCTGAGGGTGGGGAGACTATATAAAACGATTACTATACAAATTTGTATACAAATTGCCTTGCTTTTCGATGAGGCCCAAGTTCATATGGACAGGTTGACTGTTACCTTGTAACAACAAGCCGACAATTAATAAGAATTTTCTATATAATATAAAGATAGATGTTTTAATATTTATTATATAGTCTTCATTCTATCTCATCTTGTAAAGAATTCTATGATTTAAGATGTTATTATATATAGTTATATATATTTATCTAACTCACCTCTATATTATATTAATGGTATGAGCCTCAATACCTCACATAAAGATAAATATCAATCATACATTCATTAAGAGAAATTGATATAAAAATCAATTATACACTAAAGCTATATGAAATAAAAAAAAGGAACAAACTTCTCAAATTCAACGACCGGGGTATTGCCAAACGAAACCATCAAAACCATTTGAACCATCGTATCGTATCGTATCGTATCATACCGTATCCAAAGCAAACCCCTATCCGAATATTCCTTCCTACCATTATCGAGGACTAGCTCTTCCACCTTTCCACCATTTAGCCACGAAACCTGGGACGCATAGAAAAGGGAGAGTACACAAAGTACAGTGCTGGAGATTCTCGTGTTCGATAGACAAGCGGGAACCGTGGACGACATTTGAACATCATTAAAGTGATATTCAAGTAGACCAAGCTACATCGGCAATTAGTATGTCAGTCGAATCCTCACTTAAATATTCTCAACAACATGGGCATTGATAGCCTTTTGGAAACCGGAATCCAGACCTCCGAAATCACCAGTATCATTTCTGCTGCTAGAAGCACCAACATGACCTCCTGAACTTTCTCCCAAAGCATTTGCCATTTGATTTCCAATAGTTGAAGCACCTGGTAGGAAAATAACCTTGCTATTGGCGGATTTAGCCATAGCTTGCATTGCCTCGAGATATCTAATTTGCATGGCTGGTGCACTGGAGAGAATATCGGCAGCTTGACGCATAAGCTTGGCGGATTCAACTTCAGCACGAGCAGCAATAACCTTAGATTCTCCAAGACGTTTAGATTGTGCAGCCATGGAGAGAGATTCCTGAAGTTCATTGCTGAAGATCATATCCTTGATGAGCATGCTCTCAACTTGTACGCCCCAACCTGATGCAACATCCTCAATTATTTCCTCAATCGATTGCGCAACTTCCTCGCGACGTTCGATGACATCCTGTAAAACACGAGCACCAACAACGTGTCGAAGTGTGGTTTGTGTACGTTCGACAAGTGCTTGGCGAACATTGGAGATACCGAAAGCCGCCTTATGAGGAGATGTGATGTGATAATAGATGACAGAGGTCAAATGTAAAGTAACGTTATCTTTGGTCATGCAAACTTGTTGGGGAACCTCTGTAACATATAAGTTAATGGCACATTCTTTGCAGAGTAGTACTTTCAAACAATCATAGGATGAAACATACCAACAATCTGGATCTTAACATCAACCTGAATAAGACGTTCACTGAGCGGATTGATCTTGACAAGACCAGGATCAACTGCACGATAAAAGCGACCAAATTTGGTAACGAGACCAACATTACCCTGCGAAACTGGCTTATATGGATTCGGGCAGAAAATACAACAAGGAATCGCACCACAGGTACCGATACAAGCTCCGAGAGTGTTGACTATGTGCGAACAATAATTAGTGATCGAAGCATGAATTTGCGCGAAACCCTGCATAGGTAGGTATCAAACTCACTCATACTCCCATACCACCCCGAAGTACTTGTATCATCATCACCCTGCAAAATTTGAGCATAAGAAGGCTGGAGATCTTCTCTTCTTGGTGGTTGAACATTGATTAAACGATCACCGGTCCGACCTGGTGTACCGCGAGATGTATTATGACCATTCTGGTGACCTGATGAACTGGCCGCGGCCGAGGGTGAGAATGGCTTATGAACATCATCGCTCGCAGCTCGTTTGCCGTCAAAGCTTGAAGACATAATTATTGTGTTGACTTTTTGATGGGATGTCGGTGAAGGTATGGCATGTAAATTGAGGATTGGAGTAGGATGGAGAATAGAGTGAAGAAGTCGTAGGGTGGGTAAGCTGCTGTATAAAAAGTGGTATCACTGATGTGATGTTGTGAATGAATTTCTGAGCGGGGGATTCGTTTTATTATGTAGTTTGTTGCTGGAGTTATTGCTGGCTGCAAGTGATTGATTTCAGACATGCGCAGGGTGAGGATACTAGGTAGTCTAGTCTAATTGGTAGGAACGATAGAGACGGGCGACGGGGCTTCGCTGCTGGGGCCTTTTGCGGGGAAGGGAAGGAAGGGAAGGAAGGGAAGGGAAGGAAGGGAAGGAAGGCTAAGTGGAACGGACGATCAGTCACGCAGTATTTGATGTTGCTGTATCACCGATTGTGGATGATGATATGTCTCATCTCTCTCTTATATGATTTGGAATGAGAATTCACACTCATTTGCACTCCCATCTATGATGTTATGGTTATGATGACAATGGTAACTTTGTAAAAACGCCTACTTCATCATCATCATCTTACCTGCTCCTTACTTCTTTCTTCCTTACTGCGCCTCCCCGTCGTTCATCCCTCGTGATGATGAAGAACCATGTTGCAACCTGTGGTGCTGGCTTAGGAGCAATGACCATAAATGAAAACAAGCCCAACCACCCCTGCATCATTGCGGCCCACCCTGCAAAGAATAGAACCGTGTCATAACATCATAGGAACTTTTTGGGCTGTACAGAGCAAAAGAAACACTCCGTCTTGCAATATTTAACTCGGTCAACAGATATTGCACATCATACAAGATTCAAGATTATGTAAGACATACACGGCCAGCTTTATCAATCCAAAGACAGAGCACTCAACCAACAGACCAGCTTACCATTTCCCATTCGACAAAAGAAACGACGCCCTTCCTAATCCCGAGCAAACTAACCAGATGCAAAATTCAACCACATGTCCAATTAACTTATCATTCATCACACCTTCTAGAAGTTTACTCCATCTGGCATTAATTTTCTTCGTGAAGTTTCAATCAACTGTGCCATGTTATCCGTCTTTACGTAAGACTACAATCCGTCCGTTCCTGTCTTATGTTTCTGTCAGATATTCATAATTTTCCTCGCTTTTATTCGAATTCGTTTTCCACCAGCGCTCCGTTTCATCTATTTTTTGAAGATCTGAGGCTCAGCCCTACCAAGACTTTCAAACCCTATTCTTGGAGTGGTGCCCACATGAATTTCAACGTAAATTATGCCCATCATTGTTCAAAAAGAATTCCTCTGCCGATTTGAACCATAAATACCGGCTTCCTTCCTATCTGTATGAGCCTGGTTGCCGACCTAGCGATATACAATCCTCATTTCTTGTTTCCATGAGGCGCAGTCTTCGAAATTCTCAATCTGCTTACACTGTTAGCTTGCATCAATGATTTTCAACCCGAATGAGCTGCAGTTCCGAAATATAATAACCGGCATCAATTCATCCGATTCCCAGCCTAACCACAATGCAGAGATTCCATACGAGTAATTCGCGCACAATTGCTGGCAACATCATACATCACTATGCAGTATTCTGTTCCACTCTTCCCGGCGTACTCACCGCGCCATCGATCTGACTCGGTACTGTCGCTCGAGTAATCTAGTGCTTACTCAGTCGGGCTCCAGAGTCTGCACATACGGATTAGATTACGGCTATGACTTCCGAGCTCATTCCCTGCCCGGCTTAACCATTGTTTTCCCTGATGGAATGGAAGAATATTTATTCCTTGAGTGATGACCCTCCCTTATCGGAATTCGCAGCCGCAAATCGGCAAGACGGGGACCGGCTTGGCATTCCTCTCTTCTGAATCACGTGCCACAAGCACACGCTCGTCAGTTGAGCAAGACGAAGCACATATCAGGAACTGAAAATCCTTAGAGACCCTATAGAATATTACGATGATATAGTCTTAATAGTAAGAAAATTGAAAAAGCTCGGGAAAGATCACCTGAATATGTGATTCCTCGAGACCTATCGCGTCACATCAAAACGATTAGGATGTTACTGCGCTGTATATTCCTGAGAACTTAAACTGTAACTAAAGCATTACATTCAACAAGACTATATTGTGAGAAAGTTGGAATTATAGACCAAATACATAAAGGTTTTAGCTAATCAATCATATGACCTTCTGTAGTTAGATATAAAAGAAGAGTCTTTTGTCTTTTCTTTTTACAAGAATCAACCTTCTACATATATACATTTGAACCCATATAGTATCAATCCCAAAACCATTGTGAACTCTGTTTTACTTATAAGTGATGTATTACAATGTAATCTAATTCAGCTTTCTCTTCCAATTCCCTCCTCACAACGTGTTATCGGGACGCACGTATCTCGACCTACCACTTTTACAATATAATTAGCTCTAAGAAATTCTGCGTATCTAACTATTATCCGGATGCATCGAACGCCATTCATCATCTCACGAAAGTCTTCGCATAGTAAGATTAGGAGATATCTCTGTGTTCTTCTTGTACTGTTGGATTTAGCGGGACTTCTTCCCTGATATATATTTATACATAATTTTTTTCGATTATATCACAGTAGTATGTATTATCACGGCATGAATGAGTCTTTGGTAAATTCGATGGTATTCGACTAAATGTGTATGTTTTCTTGTTTTTGTGGATAAGTGTAAAGTAGTAATAGTAAGTCTAGTACCCTCTTTTTGGACCACCTTTTTACACCAAAAATCATGATTTTCATCTATTAATAACTTTACAATTAATCGATAGAATTTGATGAAATTTGAATTGTAGATTCATTATATAATTATAATTCAATTCTGAAAAATTTAGATTTTTTAAAATTAATTTCATTGAGATTTATAACCTTAAATTTTGTGATTTTTGATTTATATAGAATTTATATATAAATTTACAAAATCTTTAAAATCTTGAATAACTTTTCAACAAAAATAATTATAAATAAATTATAAATTTCTTTTTCGAATATTTATATTATAAATGATCAAATAAATCAGTTTATTTTAAAAAATATTTTTAATCAAAATATTATGATTTTTAATCCCTACAAAATCTAAAAATATCAATAAAGATTTATTTATATTATTTGAAATTCAAATATTATACTATTATATAACATTTAATTTAAAAATCTCAAAAAAATTTATAGTTTATTTTTAGCAATTTTTGTTAAATAGTTATTCAAGATTTTTAAATTTGTATATAATTTCAATACAAATTGAAAATCATAATTTCAATTTTCAATTTCTCAATCAATAAAGTTATGAAAAATCTGAAAAATTCAGAATTCATCAATAGTTATATAATAAATCTGCAATTCAAATTTCATCAAATTCTATTCATTTATTATAAAGTTGTTAATAGTTGAGAATCATAATTTTTGGTGTAAAAGAGTAGTCTGAAAGAGGGGTGGTCCGAAAGTAGAGTACTAGACTTATTTACTTATTAATTGCTTCTGTATTTAATTCTAGAGTAAGAAGGAAGTATGAATAAGTATATCTAATATCTAATATTACAATTATATTAGATGATAAACTTTCAGGGAATGAATTTTTAAATTCTTTATAGATTTGTTTCTTTTTGTTGAACTTGTATTTGATATCTAAATCTGTATTTCATTAGACGAATAATACATTAAAGCTTGAAACTCCTTTTATCAAAGGATAAATGTTATTAATTTAGTGAATATAAGTTTTTGATAGAGTTTAAGCGCGAAAAACAAAACAGTTTAATAAGGTTAGTGAAATAGTTGGGAGGAAAGTGGAAGCAATTCATACAAATAGAGGTATAATAACAAAGTAATACTAAAAATATCATCAGCTATAGAAGTGAAATTTGAAATCGAAAGCTTGTTTATTCTGACAACTAGAAGGTATGTATTGAGGAAGAGGATATAGTCATGGAATTTCTCATCCCGGCACCTTACATCACTGGATACAAACGAATTGGAAAAATTCAGCTCCGTCATATAAGAAAAAGGTCTTTGATTCCCCATTATTAACTTCATAGAAAAAATGACAATTGGGAAAATGCAATCAAGGTACTTTCACCGGTCATGCATTAGCAAAAGATTCAAAATCATATTGATTACCTTGGGACTTCATTTTGAGAGAGTTGTATATTATGAGAAAGTTGGTATTATAAGCTATATATAAAGGTTTTTAATTAATCAATTATATAACCTTTTATAACTAGATATAAAAGGAAGGTTTTTGTTTTTTTTTTTTTATAGAAATCAATTTTCTACATATATATATTTAAACTTATATAATTTCAACTTTAAAATTATTGTAAACTTTATTTTCTTTATAAATGATGTATTATAATATGATCTAATCAGCTTTTTCTTTCAATTCCTTTTCACAATATGTTATCGGGATGTATGTATCTCGACCTATCACTTTTACAATATCTAAAAGTAAATCATACTCAGTTCTCATATTTGATACAAAACATACACAAAAACACAATTATATGATAGTAGCATTTCCTGATAGGTGGATAGGAAGTATATAAGTTGACTTGATTGAGGTTTTAGCTACGGGAAGCTTTCGTCTAACTACCTGCTAAAAACATGCTAACAAGCTAAAGGAGTGAAGGTCGGGGCTCCAAGAGCTTCTCCGTTAAATGGCCCTTGCCTAAGAATCTGACAGAGCCCCAAAAAATGACAAAATTCATACATTATATTAGATGAGGCAATCTGGACTTGACTGTGTGAGATCAATTGCAGATTTCAAAAAAGCCCCAAACGAAGCCTTTCGAAACACAGGACACATTTTCCGAGGCTGGGGTTTCATAACTAGCACAACCATTCATTCCTCATACCCATCCTCTTGCCTCCCTCCTCCATCATTCATACACCCGAGTCATCCAAGTTGGAATAATGAGCGAAAAATGCTCTGAAGCACCGTCACAACCCGGAAAAAGAGGATGTAGTGAGATCTGACTTGAATATTAGCCTTTAGAAAAGAAGTATTTCGAAAAGAATTACATACATCACTTAACATTCAGTCCAGTACCAGTCATCGCCCTCATTCACGCAGGCGTGCTTGAACTTTTCAATGTTGTCACCATAAGGGTCGCAGTAGTACTCGGCCCAGTGGTAGCAGTAGCAATCGTCCTCCTTGAGATTATTGCAAATCTTGCGTGTGACTGCCCACATCTCGTCTACTGATTTGTCGGGGTTCTTGCATCTGTAGGCATTCCCACCACAAGCATAGGCTGTGGTGGCAGAGAGGAGGAGTCCGAAATAGATAAACTTCATGATGAAAATTGTTGAAGTGAGTTTTTGGTTGATATTGAGGAAAGTGTTTCTTGTGTAAATAAGTAGTTTTTGATGTTTGAGGATGTGATGTTGGATGGTGAGTACTCGATGGCTCAGCGAGGACTATTTATACACAGAATCATTCAGTAATAATGGGTTCGAGAAGGTCATGGTGAGCATGACGTTGTTCTCAGCAGGTGATCTCGATCCACGTTGACGGACGTCTCTAAGACAAATCATTGTATAACACAAGATGTGGATGCTGATAATTTGACATCTGTCTGAAGGTGATTTCAGCCGCGTCTATCACACCTGAACTATTGGTAGCAAGCAGGAGAGTAGAGCGGCGATGATCATTTCCATTTTAAGACCTGAGATCATCTAACACATCGACACAATTTGTCTAATTACCCCACATGAATCTAATTCAGCTAACTGCACAACAGCCTCCTTACAGTACTGGTACCTGCCGCACCGTATAATCTTCCCGAGCGTTCATCAGCTACGCCATTATTTTGTTGTTTAACCACGTCACATACTACCGTATATCAAAGTACCCTCAACTTTAAAGATAAACTACTGAAACTAGTGAGTCGTGCACAGATCCAAATGTCAAGACTCGGTGAACTGAGGTAGGCTATCACAAATAGTAGTAGTAGTAAATTCATAATCGATTTGATTTAACTGTAATTAATACTATATTTGATTATACGATAAATCTATGATATATCTATATAATGAGAGAGAAGAAGAAACCTTTGTGGTAAAATAAGGATTAAAATTCTTTTTTTATTATATTTCTTAATTGAATCTGATTCTTTTGTTTTTAGGATTTTAAAGTTATTAAAGGATCTTTAATATAAGAATTTATAATTTTGTAAATCAATTTTTAATTAATATATAATTCTGTTGGGGTTTATTGAGTATTTTATAATTGTTGTTTTTTATTTTTTTTTGGTTGTTTTTTTATTTAATAATTTATTAGTATAATCTTTTATTTGTTTTCTTTAATTTTATTATATTTTTTATTTTTTGGGTTTTCAAATATATAATTTATAATCCTTTTAAATTTGTTTTATTTATATATATATATATATATCTTTTTTTAATAATTTTGTTTTTATAATATAATCTTGAAATGAAAAAGAATCAAATCTTAAATATTTTAAAGTTATGATTGTTATATAATTGATTTTATATTGTATTTGAGATATTAAAATTTTTAGAATATAAGGAAGAAGTATTTATTATAATTGTATTTATATTTTTTGTATTTTGTTATATAATTGATATTTTGTTATATATAAGAAGGTTAATTGTTTTAATAATAGATATATTATTGTTGATATCACTTCGGTGATACGATGCAATGCATAGTATTATCTTCTTGTAGTTGTTCATGGATGATTATTATCTATCTAGAGGAGAGAGACCTATTTATATTGAAAGGGGTACGGGCTAGAATACACTAGTCGTACAACCCCCTTTGTGTACGGCTCTCTTTCAAGGTTGATCACATGATATAACGACAATTATAATATATATTATATATAATTTTGATATTTTATATTGTTTTTATAATTGATCAAAATTATATTTTTGAAATAATATTTTGTATAAAGTTTGATGTCTTTTAGAATTTGTTTATTCATTTAATAATTTCATTTTATGTTTTTTGAAAAAGTAAAGAGTATTATAAAAAAAATTTGTTTTTTATATATTTTTAAGTTTTCTTTTGTATAATATGTTTTTGGGATATTTGAATAATGGAAAATAGGATTATTGTAAAGGTTTAAGTTTGAATTTTTATTTTTATTTATAAGTGGGAATTATTTATATGATAAAGATATTATATTGAGGAAAATCTTTAATGTGATATTATTCTATATTTTTCTTTTTGTTAATGATGATGATATCTTTATGATGTCGATAGATATCGACTTTTAGTTTTTGAGAGAGAGGTTGTTATATTTTTGTAGCGAGGATCCGAATAAAGATCGATTTTTCAAAAATATAATTTTGTTTTTTTGTTGTTTGCTATCACAAATATAGAATGGAGTTTTGCGGGATAAATGTCCAATGGAGTGTAACTTCAATTAGATTGAAGTGTTTCTTCGGATCAGATATTAACTTATCGGCAAGGTAATACCCCAATTGGTGATCGTGTATCTCAATTGTACGGAGTATTGATCCACAATATCTCACTTACAGTATAAATGCGGGGAATTAACACGCTAATTCTTATGAACCGGAGAACATCTAAAATCAAATTCTGATATTTATCTTGCTTGCTGTTTAAGAATTAAGCGATTCCTACTTAATGACATATGCTTGAAATACAACTAATAATTGATAGATACCGGTAGCTTAAATGGACGAATTAATGACATTGTGGCTTGTCAGGCTAGTAGGATCGGCTCCAGGTTTGCGAGACAGATAAGCGAAGCATTGGGACAGCCACTCCCCTTGACTTAACTTCATCATACATACCCCAGGAAAAGCGGTGACTCCCGCCCTGCCGTCAGTATCCAACCAAATGATTTCCGGAAGATCTACACCATCCACAATTTTCCGATCCTTTATCACATTCCGATTCCCATGCTAAGATTACTTTGCACGACGTCAATGTACGGATGAACTGGTTACACGCTACTAAACTCCGTGCTCGACATTTCACAATATGTCTCGTGCAGGTGACTGCCATACTACGCCTCGCTAAATGCGGAGGACTTCTTTTATCATGTATTATGTCGATGAATACCTAACACTGCATGGAGTTAAATTTCAGCTGGTACTGAGAGACGAAATAAGCTTCATTGTAGCTGCCAAGGACGACGGCAGATATGTAAGTGACACATTAAGCAATTATCTTGGAGATCTAGGCTACTTTTCGACATAGAACTTTTGAGAAATTTGTCTTTTAGTTGAGATTGCCATCTTCATCGCCGATTAACATATCATTTTTGCATGATGGAAGAGATGTTGAGAAGTGGATTCCGCGGCAGGCGCTCATATCAGTGTACGAAAGCTTTATTTTTGGTAGTAAGCTTTCCTACCAATTAAGGCTGTGTCCTATCATTTTGACTCTTTTCTACGGAAAGAGAGGAAGAGGGTTTTAGTGGCATGCTAGTTTGAAAATTCATCCATATTCCCAGCAAAGAAATTGCCTTCCTCTCATTACCCCATGCTTGTGCCTTCTTATTCTTCCGTCCCATCATTTCTTTCCTTTCAAACACTCTGCCCTGTTTATTCTTCCAGACTTTTGTTTCTCCGTTTCTACCAAGTATTCCCTTGAACTGAAATCTGTGAGATATGTGGTTCACATATCCCTCTCTTCACACATGATACCCATGGACATCAGCAGTCATACGCCCGGTTCTCACCACGGTTTCTCACATATTCTAAAAGCAACTCACAGCGCATTCTCAAAATCTCCTCACAAGCTAGTTTATTTGACAAATTTTGACTTTCTTTACTTAATGATATTCGTAGCTACAGATATCCGAATGGTGAAAAATGAACCATGGTCAATACTGTTTGTCTACAAAGAGCTGAATGATTTCACTAGTAATAAAAATTCACTTCCACGCTTAAAATGTAAGCGCTGAATTATTTTGATCCATGTGTTATGATACCAAAATATACACAGAGCTAAATTCCGCTTCTGATCATGGTTTAACCCCTCTTTACAGGAAAATTTTATGAACCCTGGTAGAATGTTACAACTGGTCCAGCATGAACAAAGCGAGAAGCGAAAATTCAGCATGTTAACGTGAGACTAGTATTGAGTTGTGATTTTCATCTGAAATTGCAAATGCTATCAAAGAAGTTAAGCCAGATGAGTAGGACAAAATAAGACGACAGTAATGACCCTTTACAAATCAAATCTCTTCCCTTCAGATTGAATTCTCAATCCTTGATATCCAACTCTCTTAGCCTCAGGTTTTTCACTAACCAACTCATCCCAAGCAACTCTCTTAGCCTCCCTCGGCCCTTCATATCTGACTCTCTTAGCATCAGGTCTAACTTTCTTCGCTTCAGGCACACCTCTCAGTCCTTCATATCCTACTCTCTTCGCTTCCCTCGGTCCATCATATGCAACTCTCTTAGCCTCAGGTCTAGCAGCCAATCCTTCGTAACTAACTTCCTTAGGATCAGCCGACCATTTACAGAAGTTAATGTTCAACAAAGTCCCATAAGCCACCCATTGACCACCATCCCACCCATCGTAACAGTTTTCCACAACCTGAGAAAAGGCCGCGATGCAGGCTGTTTTGGAGTTGAAATTGGCTACTTTGCCAATATTTGCCGTATGCCCGCTTCGGTCGTTGAAGTCGGTCCAATCTCCGCCTAGTTTGTTCCAGTTGTCATGGCAGTAGTCTTCGGCGTATCTGGACAGCTCGTCTTTATGAGCGCAGTTTACCTTGTGGGCACCTTCCACGTGGTTATAGCACTGGCCGGCGAGAGCGGCAGAGGCAAATGCGAGGACACAGGAGATTCTCGAAAAATGCATAATGTGATTTGATGCCGAATCTGATCGTAAGAGTTAATAATTTGTCTTTTGTCAGTTTGAAGGCATGAGAGAATTACCGCTTGGTTTGAGTGTTAGAACAATATTTTTCGTCTGTCGATGAACGTAGTTGATGAAGTAAGTTCGGGTGATGTTTCAAGGCCTGTGAACGATAAAGTCATTTATAGTCTGGCAAGGAACTGCGTATGTCTTGACTAGATCTGCTAGGTCTTCCAGCTGGATATGCCGGTCCACGATCTCATCACATTACACATTTGAATTAAACAATTCACGTTCATCACACGAATTAATTTGGTGATTTGGTCATATGAGGAAACAGATCAACGAATCCCCTTGCATTAGAGGTGGCACTGCCACAGCTTCAAATATCGATTCCCGGCATAGTCACTAAATCGCGGAGAAACCAAATGCAAGGTAATCCAAAGACAATCAATTGCATGAATTGCTAGTTCGAAATAAGGTGGATGTGCATTTGCAGTGTGAGACAGTTTCTATGTCCTCAGCCAGCCATCAGATTCTCTATAATCAGTGAGATTTAATGGATGCAAGTTTTAGAAATCGTTAATAATGAGAATGACGAAGTTTGTGATACGATGGTGATGTGCTGGGAGCTGCTCAAAGCAGCAATCAAAGTACTGGCGGCTGGCTGACTGGTTGCACGGTGTGATCGCTGGAGGCGTCATGAGGCGCCGAGACGAAACATCCTCGCTAAGCTTCGGATAAGACACAACAGTTGTACTCATTCTCAATAAAATATTACTCTTTTTATCTAAATGTAAAAGAGAAGAATTTTCAGTACACCTATTAGCCTCTGGAGATAAACTAAGGTTGGGAAATTCGATGTTGTCGGTGGATGAGCTGAAGATGCAGCTTTAATCCTCACCGATGGTATATCCATTCCTTGTTTCGTGTAGCTTTGAAGCCTCAATGAAGTAATTTTGATGCTGCTCTTCTTGGTGTCTGCTGAAGTCTAAATGAAGTAATTGTAATGCTGCTCTTCTCAGCGGCTGAATCCCGAATGAAACGATCGAGATGTTGCTCTTCTCAATGCATGCTTTCTACCCGGTCAATTACTGAACGTCATAGTCATATCCAGACATCGCCCAAATTCCATTCAGGAGAAAACATCAATTTACCATACTCTTAATTCTCATTATTCATTATTGAAACATATGCTTTTTTGTAGCTCGATTTCATCAATATCAATAAACAATGCCGAACGCTGAAAGCACACTGTACTCGCAAGGAGTCAACTTCGGAAGCTTTGTCCAAGAGGGTGTTGATGCTCGAACGGGACAGTACACCTCTTCAATTGCCCTGTATGAGGCCCCAGCAAAAGCACGTAACTGTGCACCCTTCAAGCTATCCCTAAGATTCAGTCCCCTAAACACAGCAAATATTGGCTTTGGCAAGGGTTGGTCGTTGAACCTTTCTCAATACCAACATAGTGCACCACGCAGTCTTGTCCTCTCAACCGGAGAGCATTACAAAGTCTCCAATACTGGAGGTTTACGCGTCGATGACCAGAAGCTGAAAAGTTTCATATTTCAGCAAAAGGGTTCTGACTTTGAGATCATCCACAAAGATGGCAAAATTGAAGTCCTTTCTAACGCCCACAATGTCTATAATACCAGTGTGCCTGTCAAGCTTTATGCTGCCAATGGTCGAGCATTGACTCTCGTCTGGATGGCTGTGAGTGGTCAACCAAGACTGACCAAAGTACAAGACGGCGATGAGGTTTTGCTACAGATCAAATACAGAGACCCTCACGTGGAGGTCATTCATTCTCCAGATTCTGCGAGCCCCTCTACCTTCACTGCGGTAATTAGAGAAAGTCAGCTTCAGGAGTTTTGGCTGCCATTGACGGATAGTTCGAGATGGAGGTTTACTTACAACACTTACGGGCCGCTTATTTGTCTTTCCAACATACATAGCCCTCTAGGTTTGGTGGAAGAGGTCACTTATGATTCATCCGGCCTTTTATTACCACCTGGAGGTCCCTATAAGTCTCTTCCGGTAGTCAGACAACATATTATCAAGCCTGGAAATCAACAACCGGCCATCAAGACGCTCTACGACTATTCGACCAACAACTTCCTTGGATACGGAGCAGTTTCGCAGTGGAAATACAGCGAAGATAATCTATACCACGTGAGCGATAGCTATCAATACTACACCACCGTTTCTGTCAATGGTGGCCAAAAAACAAAATATACCTATAACAGGTTCCACTTAATCGTCGAGACCAAGCAGGATCAGAATGGAAAGCAGATTACGCAAACTATTGACTACTATGCCATACCAAATAGAGCATTGGAGAATCAGCCAGCTCAATTTCAACTGCCAAAATGTGTGAAAACAACATACTGTGATTTAGCTACTCCATCGCTGTCTAGAGTAGAATCAACTTCTCACGAATACGACGAATGGGGCAACCCTACTTTAGACATTCAGACAGATGGCGTTACGACAAAACGTACTTACTATCCGCCGAACGGGGAGACTGGTAAATGTCCGGCTGATCCACATGGATTTCAGCGCTATCTAAAAGAGCAAACTATCATACCTCCTGATAAGCAAGGCCATGCTCCGACGTGGACTACGAGCCACACTTATAGTGAGATGCCAACAGCTAAAGATGCGCCAGCACCATCATTTGTTCTCCTACAACAGTCGCAATCTTTTGCGGATAATGACCCGTGCAACTGCAAAATTGACAAAACGTATGTGAGTCAGTCGGACGGAAGGGATCATGGCCGTTACAAGCAACAGACGTCAACGCTGTACGAGAAGTATCCTATGGTGCAAACATGGAATTATCAGTACGAGGGTGGTCAATTGAGCGAAACGACGCAGTTGAAAAGTTTTGATGATCTCCAGATTAATAATAAAACAAACTTTTCCTTGGCCGATGGATGGATTATGAGCCATGTAGATGAAGCGGGTGTTGAGACACAATTTAAATACGATCAAGTTGGCCGGCAGATCAGTACCACAGTTTCTCCTGGAACAGTATATGAAGCAACACAAACTCATGAATATGTTCTTTCAGGTGAAACAGCAGGATACACTGTTACGGTAACTGACGCCAAAGGACTGAAGACCCGATCAACCACAGACGGCCTGCAGCGGGTCTGCCAGATTGAAAGACAAGATGATGATGGGGAGTCGAAACTGGGCGCTTACACAGGCACCTTTCGCATTGTACAGGAAAAGAATTACAATGCACTTGGTCAATGCACTAGAATGACAGATATTGACTGGTTGAGGGCTTCAGAGGAACCGAAGAAACAGTCCGCCATTCATGACTATGAATACAATGACTGGGGTCAGGTTTGCAAGGTTACCGATAGTAATGGAGTTGTCACTTTGGCAGCTTCAGATCCAATTACGCAAACCTATACCGAGGGTATTAAAGATGAAGGCCAAAAGAAAGCGACTTTTGAGTCTCAAGATCATCTCATCCAAACGGCGCTTCTGAATGCGCATGGTAGCATGTATAGCAGCGTTAACTACACCAATGACGGTTTGGGTCGAAAAGTCCAAGAAAAAGACAGCCTTGACAACAACACCCAGTACATTTACGACTGCTTCAATCGAGTGAAGAAGACAACTTGGCCAGATGGTCGTATGGCGAGAACTCAGTATGCAGGTCACAGTACTGACCCGCTGCCTGAGTCTATCCAGGTCTCGGACATCACTCTAGGCCAGCAGCCTTTCGACGGACTTAGTCGTGCAAAGAGCCAGCAAGTAGCCAACCGACAAACTCTCCTGTCATATGAAAATAGCTCGCCTAAGCCTAGCGATATCACGACGCCTAGAAAGGACAAGGTTCATCTGGATTATGAGAAAGCTTTGAATTACGCTCTGAAGGACCTGAGAACAAGTGATGATCCATGCAGCTACCACTATGATCCGCAAACAGCTGAAGTTTGGAAGAGCGAGAATACATACTGTACAGAGGAGTTAAAATATTTGCCCTCAGGATTGTTGAAATCTGAAAGAATCACAATCGGAAAGGAAACGAAGACACAATTTTCGACAAAATATTCCTACTCCATGAATGGCAGACTCCAAGGTTACACTGATGTCCACGGCAAAGACCAAGTGTTAGATTATGATGATTACGGACGACTGAAACAGCTATCTCAAGGACCATTGGCAATTACCCTCAGCTATGATAACGGAAATCGCCTCGCACAAAGTATCGTGCATGATAAACAGAAAGATAAAAAGCTAACGACGGTATTGAAATACGATGAATTTGGACGCGAGATCGAGCGCACTATCTCCCGAGACTCCAAAATAATGTATGTCTTGAACCAAAAGAAATATGACACAGAAAACAGAGTCAAAAGCCGTGAATTGAGAGACGGCAGTGGAAATGTGATTCGACAGGAGACTTTTCAGTATGACAGTATGGGTCGCTTGTTTGATTATGTAGCCCAAGGAAACGGAATTTCGATTGATGAACACGGACGCCAAGTGCTCCATCAGCAATACCTCTTCACGGAAGTTGGCGGTCTGAAGCAGGTTACTTCTTACTTCCAAGATGGGAGTCAGAACATCACTGATTATACGTATTCTGATCATGACCCTTGCCAGCTCATTCTGATCACGAATACGCACCCGGATGACAACCCAAAGATTGAACTTGAATATGACAGCAACGGATGTTTGACTCGGGATGAACAGGGTCGTATTATCGAATATGATACTTCTGGTACGCTGAAAACAGTACGTAATAAGGATCAGACAGTCTTGTGTCAATATTACTACGACTCCCATGGCAGGTTACTTACCCAGGAAGTACCAGGCAAGTCAGATCATCACCTTCATTACCGAGGAGACACAATAGTTGCAGCAACTAGTGGGGACACCAAGATTAGCTATGTGTCAAGCGGAGATCAACACTGGGGTCAGATTCTCCAGGAGAGTGAACAAACGACCACCCAGCTGTGGGCTTCCGATATTCACCAATCTACTATTGCCTGGTTAGACACAGATAAACCATCTGAAATCCATAGTCAAGTCTACATGCCTTACGGGTTTTCCCGTCACCAGTCTGCTGTCGGGTGGAACGGGCAATGGCAAGACCCTGTCACAGGCTGGTATCATCTCGGGAATGGTTATCGGGTCTATAACCCCGTTCTGATGCGCTTCCACAGCCCGGATTCCTGGAGTCCCTTTACCTCTGGAGACATAAACACCTACGCCTACTGTTGCGGTGATCCAATCAACCGAATTGACCCCTCGGGTCATTTCAGCATATTTGGTATCCAGATAACATGGCGCAATTTAGCCCAAGCTATCGTTGGACTTGCGCTGAGTGTTCTGGCAGGCATTCTCACTGACGGTGCATCATTAGCAATTGAAGTTGGTGTCGATCTTGCCGTTGCTGTTGCATCTGATGTGGGGACCGGCGCTGTGTATGATGTTGCCGCAGGAAGAGTGCCTAATATGCAGAGTGTTGGGAGCGATGTCCTATTTGGAGGTGTAGGAAATATGGTGGGAAGAGGTCTGTCCTGGGGAGCCAAAAGAGCTTTTAAGTCAGTGACTGAAACGCTCGAACAACTGCTTGTCGGCGCGGAGAAGCTACGCGTAGCAGGTGGTAAACCAGTTATGCCTAGTCAAATGGGCACCATTCGCTCTTTTAAGCGATTTAAATTACAGGCTGAGCAATTTAGCGAGTTCAACTCGTGGAATAAGATGAGCGCTGCAGATAAGAAGCTTTTCAACAAAGGTCTGGCGGATATGAAGGCTAAAATCGATCAAATAGAAAGTAGAGAATCCTGGACATGGGTTCAAGCAAAAGATTTGCCAAATGTTGGGGGGAAAAATGGTGCAGCATCGCAGAAACTTATCGACTTCCGTAGATTGGTACGGGAGGAGAGACTCAGTCCCGTAGAGGCAGCAAAGAGGGCAGGTGATACGAAGTTAACGCTGCTCAAAGGATCAAACCCGCCACAGTGGGAGATTAGGACTTCCGGAAGCGATAGGGTCACTTTTCGCATAGACCATGAAAGTAGAAAGATCACTATCCAGCAGGTTGGCGGGCACACTTGAGGCGTTTAGTTGGTACTTTGCTATAGTATACTTAAAATCATCATCAACCACCGGTTAGTAGATGAATAAGCACCAAAATGTGGAACAGGATCTTCTCCAGAAGCCTTTGCAAAGGATGTTAAGACAACGCTAACTTCCACAAGACCAATGTATGTAGTCAGGGGACGTTCTCGTCATAGTGTTTGTTGAACTATATTTTTGCCCTTCCAGGTTCAGTTATTACGTAAGCGCTCGGATGAACATCGGCTAAGTGCTATTTAATTCATCCAATCAGAACGAATACCTTGATTCTTGTACGCTAAAGTTTACAAACCTCTCGAAAAAAATAACAATCTCCCTCCGCAAATAGATGTTCATCTGTGATAGTGTGCCAGCCAATCTACTTGAGGGATTATATCAATCCTGCACAGGTTCTTCCGACATAGACTCTTTAAGTCGCCAGGGATTGAATGGATTTGATTGAGCAGAAAAGGATAAAATGTGTTAAATTCTACCAGGCGGACTAGACCATTTCAAAGAGTGTAATACATCTGAAATGAATTGGATGAATGAATGCTAAAGCTATTGTTGATATCGATGTCAATGAGTTGAAGTTGATAAGTATACTCAGTAATACAAAAACTCCAAACCTCTATTTCCGTCACCAACGTTCATTTTCCCAATTATCCCACCCTCATTGTCTTATACCCATCAATCGGTCTATCAGAATCCCTCTCATTCGCCTCATTACAGACGCCCCCTTCCGCACAAGTTTAAATCCCCACCCCAGGCACCCCACCCATAACGTTCCTCCTCCTCATCTCCGCCTCCATCCCACTAACCCCTCCTCTCTGTCCCTCCCACCACTCCTCAGTCCCCCCACAACAAACAAAACAAATCCACTCGCCACCCCTATCCAACCAATCTTCCACCTTTCTCTTCGCACTTATGAGTTTACATCTCCAGCAAATACCCTCATCATTATCTTTCTTTTCCTCTATTCTCACCCTGTTACCACCACGAGTAAATTCTCCATCATGATACACAACCCCATTTCCATTTCCGTTTCCGTTCCCATCCATTCTAAAAGAAGGACTTAACACATCCATCATTCTCGCGCCCGTCATAATCGGCACATGAACCGCCTGCTGTCCCACATCATTATAAATATCCTGAGATTCCGGAATATGCAACGCGCCCGACATGAAATATCCATTTGAAGTATTCGTACTGGTGGCAGCGGAAGCAGGACGAGATGTTAACGGTGTGCCTGTATCCTTAGTACGAATACTTGAACGATTTTCACGTTCGAGATCGATGATTCCGAGGTCGATTTCATCTCTGCTTGTGTCTTCTGCGTTTGTGTCGCTGATGAGGGAGGGAGAGATGGATATTCTTCGTTCTGTACCTCGATCGCTATTTCCATTAGTGTTATTGATATCCAGTAAAGTTGAGTTTTGAGAGTGAGAATGCGAAGAAGAGTGAAGCGAGATGCCTAGATCGTCCATAGATCCTACAACACGGATACTGGGTGTGATAGTAGCACGCGGAAGAGAAGCGACGGATGCGAGGGGTAAATATAAATTGCTTGATGGGTCGTCGTATGCATTAATTGGCGACTTGAATCTGCGGCTTAAATCATTTATAGTTTGTTGCCTTCCTTTCCGATGCGGACAATTTAATTTCGGGAATGGCACAGGATGGTTATTCCATGGATCATTGACCAAAGGGTGAAGAGCCGTCGAACTAGTTGCTTCCATAGCATGTTGGAGATTGATCATTTCAGAATCGCGGGCTGTGGCGGAGGCAGTGAAGCGGACGAGTTTAGATTTGGCTTTTCCTTTGGTTTTGGTTATTGGGGCTATTGGAGCGGCTGATGGGATCGAAGAGGTTCGCGGATGCTCGGATGGAGCTGGGGCTGGAACCGGTCGAGGTGCTTCAATTGGCGGCTCGGAGTCAATTTTATGAACGGGAGCATTGCTGAACGGGTGAGTTTCGATGGCAGAGTAAACACTCTTTGGTACCCTGAAGCGAGGAGGAAGACGTGTGAGACCAGGTGCAGATACTATTCTTCCTGTGAAAAAGGACCTCGAAGGCGTTGGTGAGAGAGTTAGGCCCGAGGATGGCATTCTAAGGAGACGTTGAAGACGGGTATGAGCGGGTATTAAGTGCTGGCGCGGACCAGGTCTTTGTGCTTCAGTCCAAGAAGGACATCCTGGTGGCGTGTCAGGGCGTTCTGGGGGTGCAATAAGAGGTTCTTTGGGTTTGGCATAGACTTCGTGAATGGATAATCTGCGTCGAGCAGCTTGATCGATCATGGCACATGCATCATGATAAGAATCCTTTATGGACCAGATATCGTCGAGACTAAATGATTGCTGACGTCGAGGGCGATTCTTGGCTAGTATGAAGCTATCACGATGACCAAGAAGTGGAGTGTTGGAAAGATCATCTGCGGATTTCGTACGATCTATACTGCGAATTGTGGATATATCGTCTGCTGATTTGATACTGCGCATGGTGCCATAACTTTTTTGTTCCGTTATTGTGTCCAGGACTGTGCCGTGGCCATAGAGAAACTCAGTGGTTGGTATAGTTTCGAGTCGAATAGGGATTGATGTCTGCCTCAAATTTTCGTTGTTAGGTGGAGAATTCTGGCAAATTGGTTGTTTGGAGGATGATAATGTATCGGATTTATATACACTGTCCTCACTATTGCTATTTGAAAACAAAAATGCTTCGAATATTGAATTGTTAGAACTCATTGGAGATTCTTCTGAAGAGTCGGTTGGCCTGACGAAAGACCCCTTGCGGCGGATGTTCTTTGATTGCGCCTGTTGGGGTGATGTTGTTCTTGGTATTAGAGGGTTCCTAGCACCTTTGGCTGGCGAAGAGTTCGTGTTTACAACTGTTATAATATCCATGATGTAAGGAAATATATCCAAAAGCATGAAGATAAAAGCAATGCAAGTAGCGAAAGGATAAGACGATGATCAAAAAAGCCTCATATACATGAAGAGTAAAATCATGACAAGGAAGAAATGAAGTAAGAGCCTACTGGGTGTTTATGTATAGAAAATTAAACTTTACAAAATGCTTTATCTTATTGTGGAAAGAACTTCCAACCTCCGCATGCCTGTGCCATTCGTTCCCTATTAAACTCCGTCGCTATGATGTGCCTCTCTACATAAGAACTCTTTTAAGATGCGTCAGCCCCTTCGGCCGCCAGGGCCTTTCGATACTCCCTTGATGCCTTCTCTAAAGTTTTGATGGTAGACTGCATCATTTCTCCGACTACTTTTGAGCCTCCGCCGACTGATTCAGGATTCCATTTGATTTTCTTTCCGGTCTTTTCCCATACATCTCTCAAATGCGCCTTCTGCCTCTCGATAATCTCAACTCTTTCATGCTCAGCATCAGCTGCGACGGCATTGATCCGATCCATGGCTCTGTCAAGTGTTTCGACCATTTTTGCAAGCTCACCTGCTCGATCAGGATCTCCCGAGAGAAAGATAAGCCAAAAATGATGAAGAAACTCAACAGTTGTAGCATGTGTCAGCGTCAATCTATCAAAAAGCTTCTGCGATAGACCTGCTAGCGCAGATGTAGTGTTAGACCCATCCATCTCCGTGCGCCGTGCTGCAATTCCTTCAAAGATTTGTTTTTGGGCATCGATAAGACTACTTTTACTTCCGACGTGGGGAGTCTTTTGTTCTTCCTCCTCCTCACTATCGCTTTCTTCATTTACCCCAATAGCTGTTCGCAGGTCTAAGCCACCAGCAGAGTCAGTATTCATCAATGTGGGATCGAGATCAGATTGTAGACCGAGCAAGACATCGGAGGGTATTTGCTTTGCATAAAGCGCGGCTTCTTCGGATATAGCAGACTTTTCACTCGAAAGGAATTGGCTCTGTTCTTTGATATTGAGCATAATCCGATTCTCTTCTGCATCGCCTTGGAGATCCCTCAATGCTAAAGAATTGAAAGTTTCTTCATCCATGCCAATAGGGTCTGCAGGGTCTATGTCAGATGGAGCAACATGGGCCATGATTTTCTCGCTCAAGCTATTCAGGGTTCGGACGATTGGTACTTTGCCTGTCGCTTCAGGACGCATGGTGAAGTCTTTTCGATTGCCTGCCTTGATACCCCCTTGATTCTGTTCATTGCCCCCAAGATCGATAATATGAGGAATATGAGTTGAAAGCAGCCGTTGGTCGAGTCCATCATCGGTATTGGCATTTAAGTACCTATCAAAAGTTGGGTCAAGACTGTCTTGTTCATTTATGCGCTCTCCCTTGAGTTTTTTGAATAGGCGACTAAGGAAAAATCTTGACCAGAAGTCCATCTCATTGAGTTTAGGAACGTTCTCATCGTAGATTTTCTTAACCAGTGGATGTTGGCTGAAAATTAGTTGTACTTGCTCCGCACTGATATTCATCTTCAACTCCCCATCGACTTGGCGTGGTTTCACGGTAGAAAGGACATTGTAAGCACCCCTCTTTTGGCTCGATTCAACAGCATGAGCTCGCAGCAGATTCGTTCGCGCAGACCAGAACTGAGAATTGAATTGGGAGTCTGATATCGTGTCAGGTTTGGTCCGCCTTGATTCCATATAAGTTCGCTGCAATGCTGGATCCTTCTTCATGAGAGATTGTTGCAGCTCAATGTCCGTTTTCAGATGAGCATCATCATAAAATCTAGCATTTCCATAGTTAGACTTCGACATTACAGCGCTGGCCATTGCCATAGCTGACGAAGCAGACTCCGAAGCAGGCCCTGAACCATTGGCTTTGGGCACATTTGCATCAGCGGCCTTCAATGCGCTGATCAAATTTGTCAGGGCATCTTTGATGGCATTCGCTTCCCCACGTGGATTTGCAGGGGAGTTGAAATGGAAAAGATGAGTCATTGATTCCGGGGCATTTGCTGACTTCTCAAATATTTTCAGCATTACCTTTGCAGCGGTTTCTGGAGTCTGCTGCAGATCTGAACGATGTCAATAAACAATGTCAAAGAAATTCGAAATCCTAGTGAACCCACTGGTAATGTCCGCTACAGCAATATTGACGACAACTCCTCCATCGGCCTTCAGAGGTAGCCACTGAATCGACTTTCCGTCTTCGGATATACTTAAGGTCCCATCCTTTTTCTTATATACGGCAAGGCCTTGAGCAGGTGACGCCATGTTTTTCATGCAAGACCCGAGTATGCACGTAACCGCATATGGGTAATGGTATGTACTCTTATGACAGAGCAGCGATGCTTGTCTGCACCAAAAACCCAAGAGATGTCGGATTAAATACACAAGATGAAAATGAAAGGAAGTCTAGAGGTATTTAGTCGAATGCCTTAACCTTCAGCCTTTCTTTCCTTGCCAAGCCGTTCTTATATGTCTAATGGCTTTTGTATATAGTATTCTATGCAATGGAATAGAGTGCAAACAGTTTTATAAGATGCAATAATCAGGCTGTGTAAATATATTTATTCGTGTGGAAGATTTTAATATGTCTTGTTGATAGATTTGTTGTAATAGTTTCCTTATTTGGATTCAGCCTTTGATCATCTTTATTCTATGATTAATCCAGACATGAATCTTGGAAAAATGCTGACACATCAATTATGGAAGCGTATTGAGCTAGACCTTTATTAGCTTAGTGTCTTATTGTATCTCACTCAAATGGAAAGAACCGGAATTAATAAAATCCGCTTTATCCCTGACCTGCCCGGGATGCACACCTCGGTAATCTATTTCCGGGAATTGCCTCACTTATGAGGACATAACCAAAATCTTGCCTTTCATTTGTTCCACCCAAATTCTATCGGTGCGATCATTTGACTCGTCTGCCATTTCTATCCGAGCTGTTACGCATTGCTTGCATTTTTCCACCCCAAAAATAAGACTTACTCCGCCTCTCATTTTCAACCTTGGTTGAATTCAACCTACCTCCTCTTATTCTAATAAACTCCTCCTAGTTCGGTCTTTTCCTATACGCATTGGCAGGCGCAATGCTTCGAACTTCACTGAGGCAATCGAGCAGCCAGCTCCTAAGAGGTGGCTGCTCAGCTAGAACCCTATGTACAACCTCACGATCTCCCCTCTTCATCTCGAATGTCACATCGAAATCTGCCTTCGCATCGAAAAGACGTTCTCTAGCTATTACCTCCCAAAAGAGACATGAATCGACTACTGCAAGTGCCCCGGATCCAAATGATAACTTTTTGTCCGGAAACACCGCAAATTACATTGATGAGATGTATATGCAGTGGAAGGAGGACCCATCAAGCGTGCATATATCATGGCAGGTCTACTTCAGAAATATGGAGAGTGGAGATATGCCAATGTCGCAAGCTTTCACCCCTCCCCCAACTTTGGTTCCTACACCTACCGGAGGAGTACCAAGTTTCCTGCCAGGCTTGGGCGGCGCAGAGGGTTCAGAAGTCACAAATCATTTGAAGGTTCAGTTGTTGTGCCGTGCATATCAAGCTCGTGGACATCACAAAGCAGATATCGACCCTCTCGGGATTAGACGGGAGGCTCAGGAATTTGGCTACAGCAAACCCAAGGAGCTTCAACTCGAACATTATCAATTTACGGAGAAGGATCTGGATACCGAATATTCCCTGGGACCTGGTATTTTACCACATTTCAAGAAAGCTGGCCGTGAGAAGATGACATTGCGCGAGATTATTGCGGCATGCGAACGTATCTATTGCGGTTCCTACGGTGTCGAATACATTCACATCCCTGACAGAGAACAATGTGATTGGTTACGAGCTCGAATTGAGGTCGACAAGCCTTTCAAATACTCGATTGATGAGAAGCGCCGAATCTTGGATCGTTTGATCTGGAGTTCAAGTTTCGAGAATTTCTTGGCTACCAAATACCCCAACGACAAGCGTTTCGGCTTGGAAGGTTGTGAGACATTGGTTCCTGGTATGAAAGCTCTGATCGACAGAAGTGTCGACTTTGGAGTTAAAGACATTGTTATTGGAATGCCTCATCGTGGTCGTTTGAACGTTCTCAGTAACGTTGTCCGAAAGCCCAACGAGTCGATCTTCAGCGAATTTGGTGGTTCTGCAGCTGCCGAAGATGAAGGTTCCGGCGATGTCAAGTACCATCTGGGAATGAACTTTGAGCGTCCAACTCCTTCTGGCAAACGTGTTCAACTTTCCTTGGTTGCCAATCCTTCCCATCTCGAGGCTGAAGACCCCGTCGTCCTCGGTAAGACTCGAGCTATCCAACACTACAACAACGACGAGAAAGACCACAAAACCGCTATGGGTGTTCTCCTCCACGGTGATGCTGCTTTTGCTGCTCAAGGTGTTGTTTACGAGTGTTTGGGTTTCCATTCTTTGCCCGCGTACTCCACAGGTGGTACCATTCACTTAGTCGTCAACAACCAAATTGGTTTCACCACCGATCCACGATTCGCTCGATCAACCGCTTACTGCACCGATATTGCCAAGTCAATTGATGCTCCAGTCTTCCACGTCAATGCTGATGATGTTGAGGCTGTCAACTACGTTTGTCAACTGGCTGCTGATTGGCGTGCCGAGTTCCAACGTGATGTTGTCATCGATCTCGTCTGTTACAGAAAGCATGGTCACAACGAGACCGACCAGCCATCCTTTACACAGCCTTTGATGTACAAGCGCATCCAGAAGCACAAGTCTCAAATTGATATTTACATTGACCAACTTCTCAAAGATGGTAGCTTTACCAAGGAGGATATTGATGAGCACAGAAAGTGGGTCTGGGGAATGTTGGAGGATAGCTTCGCTAAGAGCAAGGATTACCAACCGACATCAAAGGAGTGGACAACCTCCGCTTGGAACGGCTTCAAATCACCTAAGGAACTTGCTACGGAAGTTCTTCCACACAACCCCACAGGTGTACCCGGGCACACTTTGGAACACATTGCTGAAACAATTGGTTCATACCCAGAGGGCTTTAACGTTCATCGTAACCTTAAGCGTATCTTGACTAACCGTATCAAGACTGTTAGCGAAGGACAGAACATCGACTGGTCAACGGCTGAAGCTCTCGCATTCGGCACCCTTGTTGGCGAAGGTCACCACGTTCGTGTTTCCGGGCAAGATGTTGAGCGTGGTACTTTCTCTCAAAGACACGCTGTCTTCCATGATCAGGAGACCGAGAAAACCTACACACCCTTACAACATATTAGCAAAGATCAAGGAAAGTTCGTCATTTCTAACTCTTCATTGAGTGAATTTGGTTGTCTTGGTTTCGAATATGGTTACTCTTTGTCTTCGCCAGATGCTCTTGTCATGTGGGAAGCTCAATTTGGTGATTTCGCCAACAACGCTCAGTGCATCATTGATCAGTTCATTGCTTCCGGTGAGGTCAAGTGGATGCAGAGATCTGGTCTTGTCATGTCGTTGCCTCACGGTTATGACGGACAAGGACCTGAGCATTCATCAGGCCGTATGGAGAGATATCTTCAACTCTGTAACGAAGACCCTCGTGTCTTCCCTTCCCCAGAGAAGCTCGACCGCCAACATCAAGATTGTAACATGCAAATTGCTTACATGACATCACCATCTAACTTGTTCCACATCTTAAGAAGACAGATGAATAGACAATTCCGTAAACGTGAGTTTTTGTTTTCCACTACACAAATATGCTTCTAACAGTCACTAGCTCTTATCATTTTCTTCTCCAAATCTCTCCTCCGTCACCCAATCGCCCGTTCATCAATTGATGAATTCACTGGTGACTCACAATTCCGCTGGATTATTCCTGATGCCGAACATGGCAAATCTATCAACGAGCCTGAGAACATTGAGCGTGTAATCCTCTGCACGGGACAAGTCTATGCCGCTCTCAGCAAATACCGTGCCGACAACAATATCAAGGACACAGCCTTCACTCGTATCGAACAACTTAACCCCTTCCCATGGCAACAACTCAAGGAGAACCTTGACATGTATCCCAACGCCAAGACCATTGTCTGGTGTCAAGAAGAGCCTCTCAACGCTGGTGCTTGGAGTTTCACCCAGCCTAGAATTGAGACCTTGTTGAACAACACACAATACCATGACAGAAAGCACGTCATGTATGCAGGTAGAGATCCAAGCGCTAGTGTCGCCACTGGTCTCAAGGCCAGCCATACAAAGGAGGAAGCGAAGTTGTTGGAGACAGCTTTCAGTGTAACCCAAGATAAGTTGAAGGGAGAATAAATTCTGGAAAATGGTGGATGATGAGGACGTGGAAGGTGGTTTGTAATGTAGTTGTGAGTGGAGGTGAAAGGACATAACTCGGGACAGAAGAATACATGATGGATTATGAGCATTGGGTTGGAGGTTGGATGCATTAGATACATGATGTATTATTGTACAGAATCGAATGGATGATAGTCGTATCGTCACTTTTGGCTCGCAGTCATTAAATACCTTTTTTCTTAACTCAATAAGCTTTATGTGATGCTTAACGATCTATATTGTCATTATTTGATACTATTCGAATATCTTCAAACTCAATTGGTTTTTTCTAGTATTAGTACTTTACCTTAGGATATGTCGTAGGATGAAATACTAAGAATACAAATCAAATTTGTAACGTAGGAAACAACGTTATTACTAAAGGAAATTATCTTTCGCGTGCTGAGGATAGTACGGACATTTAATTCTGTGGGCGAAGTGATGGGAGTATTATATTATATGCACTAGGTATGTATGCTTAGCATTGTGTTATTGTTCTTGTTGTGACACTAAATACTAGGGCATCGTATCTACAGTTGGTATGGTATGTATATGGATGGATATATAAATATCGATGTATTAGGAATATTAATACAAATACAAATACTTCTTACTTTTCTTTTCTTTTCTTTTCCTCCTCGCTAAGCAAGTAAGGGTTAGAATCAGTCACGATTATTCATCAACCTCGCTTCCTTCTTCATTCTTGTCGAGCTTCATATCATATCATATCATATCATATGTAAGACTCTATCTAATTACCTAGTAGAAGTCATAACCACATCATCATGAACTGATGGGGGGAGGATTTCTTCGTTGGTGTTTCATTGCGGAGACTATCTACTTACCTATTTACCCATCTGCCCTTCTAATTGGGCTATTGAAATATAAAGAAATCCTCCATTTGTGATAGATCGTTGTTGTTTTCTTTCTAATTGTTCCTTTGCTCATAAGTGTTCTCCTATTCGCGACTATTCTCCATTTGTAGGCATTCCACCATGCATAACCATCATAACGACCATCCATCCATAACTAGTCACGCCACCATGATCATAAAACATCAGCCACCTAGCTACTCATCTCAGCATACATCTCTAAGAAATCCTTCCTGCGGAAAAAGAAAATCCAGACGAAACTTCAACAGCATCAGCAGCAAAGAAACCAAACCTAATCCTCCCTTCCATCCCATCCCCATCCCATCCCATCCCATCCACAAATATCATCAGACTTTTCATCTCTCCTATTTCCCTTTCTCAAAAGAATTGCATTCTTGTAAAGTAAGTAAATCCGGAAACTCAGAAACAAAAACTAACTCATCATCATTGAGATCGTGATTGTGACACCAATAAAACAACAAAAAGCTGTGGAAATTCACCAGCTTTCGCTTACAAAAGAAAATAAAAGAAAAGTGGATTGTGCACTGAGCTTATTATAAGTAGAGAATACTAAAGGAAAATTTTTGATTGGAATGGGTGAAGGAATCCAAGGTACTTGACAGAAAGGTATTCTGAGCCAAGGATGCAATTGTTTGATCGTTTTTTTTTTCAATTGAATCAAAGGATTCGAGTTAGAGGAATTAGAGTAGTTTTTTTCTTTCAAATGTTCACAGAAGGAAGGTAGGTATTGGTGGATGAAAATCGTTAGAATAGTTATAGGAAAATATGTGTATAAACATGAGGCTAACAAATTGAAAGGTACGTAAGTGCAATCGCGACAAGTAGACCAAGTTTTAGATGTTGCTATCAGCGACTACTCTTCTAGCCAAGTAGTGGAGAGTTTTCCGAGCTTCTAAAGACTCAACTGAAGCGTTGACCCACATTGCATCATTAGCTCTCTTCAAGAACACAAGAAGCTTGCGGTTGTTGTTGATGGATTGGACCAGAGATGTAAGGTGTACACTAAAGCCTATGAGAACGAGTTGTTGGTATGGATCTTGTTCTTCTTGAAGCGCAGCTCGGAGCTTGGCCAATGTATCTTTGATTTCATCAAGTGAGTCGTTAAAGGTTTGTGGTTGAGGCTGCTTGTCTGTGTGCCCCCTATTGTCTTGCTCGTTTGGTGGAGGATCTAAAGCATTATCTCCAGCAACTTGAACGTCATTTCCATCATCTGCTTGAAATTGACTGTGGTCTGCTGGGACTGATGGAGGCGTACGCGTAGGGATGTTTGCCAACGACAATTTCTGGATGCGGTCTCGAATAACAGAATCTGAAGTTGTTACATTTCGAGTTTCGAAAATGGCATCGACTTCTGCGTCAGACATCGCAGAGCGTTTTACGGAAATGATAGGGCTTTGTGTGACTAATGTAGAATGATCTAGTATCTGCTGGTATGTTTTATTAGTCTCATTTGCTGTTTCGATAGTATCCTCGGCTGTTCTGATAACTCGAGACTTGACGGGCTCAATAAAACATGTAGGTAGTCCTGCTTGATCAAATTGCTCAGAGTGTGACTCCATTTTACTGTAGAATGAAGCAAACTCCTCGCCAACATCGCGATCATTTGCGAATGGAGCAATCTCGGGGGGTCTCTCTAAGACAACAGTGGGAATATCGTGCTGTACTGTAGTCTGTTCCGTAACATTAAAAGAGGGGTGAACGGCCGGGTCGACGAGGCCAACCACCTCCGAAGCACGGCGAGTGCGGATCATACCAGAGAGTCGGCTCTTAAGACCTCTTCCTGCGTTCTTAACAGAAGCCATCGTGTTTGACTTTTGAGCGGGAACCGACTTGCGAGCATTAGCACGAGCTGCAGAAGATGCGGTTGGTTTAGTGAGACGTTCAGTGAATGAGAGTCTCTTCTCGACGGTAACGGGTTTCAGGGTTTTATTCTCTGGAGAGTCTGGCAAGGATGACTGTCTTCGTGCAAAATTCGACTTAGCACCGTTGGTATCGTCGGAAACAGCTATATTTCCGCTTTGTGTGGTTGAACTACCAGCACGAGCAGCAAGTACACGCTTTAATCCCTTCGGCTTTGTTGTGGGGACACCGCTAGTCATATTGCGACGACTAGCATTCGAATCTTCGACTTCTTCAATAGGCTGCTCCATGTATGTACGCGCACCAACCTTGGAATATCTGCATGTAAGGGTTAGTTTGTGTTAAGAATAGATGGAGGGCAAATAAACTCACGGTGGTGATCGACCCAAGATGGTTCTGTCGGCATCTCTAGCAAACCGCTTGGATGGAGGTGGAACCATCTTATTCCGTCTACCTATGGTAGTTTGGCTCTCCGAACGTCCCATTGAGCCACTTTGGGTAACGGCAAGGATAGCATTATTTGTAGCAACTCGAGTTAATTTGTCTGCAATGTCGGCAACGTCTTGAACGACATCCTCGGTAGGAACTTCTTGGTCAGCAAGTCGTGTTTGACCATCGTTAGAATCTTGAGTGACATCTTGAGTAGCATCTTCGGCGACAACTTCCGCAGAATCTTTGGAATCTTCATGACTGTCAGCTGGTTTTATACCATCGGTGGCATCTTCAGTTGGATTCCGCAATTTGACGTTGTCGTCATCAACTTGAATAAGAGGTTCAATTGGAGCCTTGCCAATTTCACTTTCGGTAGATAAACGATTTTTCTGCACTGGATAGCGAGAGAAAGTGTTGTTGGTGGGCGCTCTACATTCGCCATTACCTAAGCTAGATCGAGCACGGCGTTCTTTTTTGGGTACTGGACTACCATTACTTTGGAGGGAAGCGAGATGGCTTTCGGGCGTAAGACGATCATTGCTGTTTGGAACAGTGAGATTGAAACTATTTGTTTGGGTAGAGTCAACAGCACCCGTAAGCTTGGATTTGCTATGTTGCATTCGTTTCAGGCTTGAGTTGTTCTGTCGGACTGTTGGTAAGGTCATCTTTTCGTCGTTAGGTGGCGGTGAGATCTTCGATATCGTCGTGGCTTCGTAAGCAGTTCCGATTTGAGCGATTCCGATCTCAAAATTGGAACCAGTGTCACAAATGTGTGAAATTGGTCTAGTGACAACAGAATGAAGGTCTTGAGCCAGTGATTTTGTGGAAACTGGTTCTGCGACAGTAGGCTCTTTGACTGGAGACTTCGGCAGAAGAATAGGGAATTGCAAAGAAGAAGAATTAAGATCGGTAGCGTCAAGTAAACCTCGGCGTTCGGGCGAGTTTTCGAGGCGAAAAATCGGCTTAGATGGCAATTTCTTATTGAGCGAGAGTCTGGTAGGCTATGGCAGTTAGATAGATTGAACAGCGGCATCTTCCAGGTAATTTGAAATGGCCTGATGATGGGCCTGTGCAATAGAATGCGAACATACCATCGTAGGAGGAGGGGTATCAATGTCCGTAATAGGTAGCTCGTATTCTGCAATCATTACCTTGGAAAGCTTTGAAGGCGTGTATGGGCTTGTGTTGTATGAATTGTGGTTAGCTCCAGCTTGTTGATAAGGAGCAAAATCGCGCAATATTCGGGTACTAGTGCTGCCTCTCAATCTTCGACCAGATGGATGGGATGATTTGCTACTGCCTGAGAAATAGTAATCAAGATTGAATTCTTTGCAGTCAGGCGTGGTGAGGGAATCTCGTGAAAGGTATTGGTATTTTGGCTTCTTGCCGAAGCTGTTGGTCGGTTGCCTATTGAAACGAGCGCTTGCATCAGTCAACACACCTTGGTGGTTCTCTTGGTCGCCACGTGTAGGAGTAGTTAGTACGGGAGGCATGTTCGTTTGCGTCGGTGTCCAAGTATCGCATAATAATCACTTTTGATAGGATTTATTTGAAACTGAACTTCTCCTTAGTGCTAGTGAAGCTGAAAGAAGAGCGATCTTTTGAAAACAATTTCTCAAAGACAAGATAATTAATTCAGCACAGCGGGATCATAAATAAAGTGATGAAGATGAATATGAGAGGCAACATGATCAGTTTCTTGCCACATAACGCAGCAAAACCATGGTGGATTTATTCCTGGACACGGTTGTTTGTTCTCGGGAGTTGAAAGGAAAGGAGTAATCAAAATCCTCGGAAGTAAATATTGAACAGTAATATCAATAATTTATCTTTAGCGACTTCGAAGCGATCCAATACTATCCTTTCAATACCTTTGCTGCCCTAAAGTAATCTTACAGGAAATCATTTGGGGCTATGCTATGGACTTGGAATGGGGTTATAGATTGACATTGTCAATGTATGTTATGAGCAAGGCTAATGAGTGCTTGCTTGTTATCACGGATGCACTTTTTGTATCTGAGGTTTTATATATATGCAGAATCGGAAGGGTGCTGTTTACTATTGTACAAAGAAAGCTGGGATGACAAGAAGTATAGTAGAATTGTGAGGAACGAGGAAGAGGAAGAGTATTGTGTTTTACGTAGAAGAGGTGGTCTTTGACTAGGTATTAAACAGAGTTTATATGACCTCACATACACTGCTTCCGCTAGAAACATTCCTCCGCCTATAGCAATTCAGGTGTCTTCGATCATGCCGGCTGCAAGTGTCCTTGCAAGTAATATGAGGAGATGATGGGAGCCCGAAACCAGAGATGATTTTTGGCCAAAGCAGCAACAGTGATACATCATACGAGGGCAACATGACTTAGGAGCTGAATTACCAAGTGACCTCGGGATGCAAAGAGACATTCAGGAGGCCATATTATTGGTGCGCCATCAAATATGAAGGTTGGTGTCAAGCTTGAGCAAAAGACAAAAACAAAGCAGTGCAGATGGGATTAAACCTAGATTTGGTACTTATTTGGAGTAGAATTTCATCACTTGATTTTATGCATTTTGAATCCTGTTTCTTCCATATTTTATTAGGTACATCGCTATCATATCTTTATGCAGTATATGATACCTAACTAAGGATGATGAGGTGAGGTTGAAGTGAAGTCTGCAGTTGAATCACGATGTTGTGCCGAGCACCAATTAGATCAGCTTACCAAACTCATATTAGTCATCTTTCCGGGACTTCGTAACAGTCCGACGAGAACTTTAAATACCGCTAGATCTTGTATGATGGATGCTACCTACCTAGTAACAGTTTAGTCAGGTTACGATATGTATTCCTGTAGACATTTTATATCTAGTACTCTGGTTCCTATTTCACATTGAATGCATCAAATCATCTCTAATTCAGCATAATCCATGGACCTACAAGGTATAATTCTCCTACGTCCGAGAATCATAGATCAATCCACTGTAGCTGCAAGCCTGCACGGGCTCTTATTATTAGCGATGAAGCGACGTCCGGTTTATTTACGTCACTTAGTGGGTAAATAAATGGTGAAAGCTTCAAGCTTCTTAAGCAAGTCTTGATTCCTCAGCATACACTCCTGAACCCGGAGTTTTGTCTTTCTGTATTTTTCTGCACATTTTCGATACCCAATTGACATCAAAATATATCAAATTTCATCATGTTTGCAAGACAGACCCTTAGAGCGGCTCAGCCATTCAGAAGCGTAAGCCAAACCCCGCTGCTTGTTTATTTTTTTCGCTGCCGTGGAACACCAAGCTTCAAGCAGATAGCTTGCTGAAAGACCACGGCACCATGGCTCGCAATGGTCCAATCATAATACTCTACATGAGCTAATATATCGATGTATAGCAATACCGACGATATGCCACCGAATCCTCAAGCAGCGGCTCGAATACTGCTTTGTACGCCGGCGTCGCAGCAGCGGTAGCTGGTGCAGGTTACTATTTCATGAGTCAGGGAGATAATGCCGCAAAGGTCAAGGATGCGGCAAAAGACGCAGAAGCCAAAGCGAAGGAGGCTCTTGGACAGGGACAAGCTAAGGTTGAAGGAGCTGTTGGGAAGGCTGCTTTCACTGGTGGCGATCAAGGCTTCATCAGTCTTAAGTTGGACAGCGTAGAGCTTGTCAATCACAACACCAAGAAATTCAGATTCGAGCTCCCTGAGAGCGACCAAGTTAGCGGATTACAGGTTGCTTCTGCTCTCATTACAAAGTATAAGAGTCCGGAGATGCAAAAGCCTGCAATTCGTCCTTATACCCCCACAAGTGACGAGAGTAAGAATTTTCCATTCCTCTTCTATAAGCTTTACTAACTCTTCATTAGGTGAAAAGGGTTTTATTGACCTTCTTGTAAAGAAGTACCCAAATGGTGTCATGTCCGAACACATGCACGAAATGGTTCCAGGTCAAAGATTGGACTTCAAGGGACCTATCCCCAAATACGCATGGTCAGCAAACAAGCATAACCACATTGCTCTCATTGCTGGAGGAACCGGCATTACTCCAATGTACCAACTCGCACGAGCTATCTTCAACAACCCAGCAGACAAGACAAAGGTTACATTGGTATTCGCAAACGTCACCGAAGAGGATATCTTATTGAAGCGCGAATTCGAAGATCTCGAGAACACATACCCACAAAGATTCAGAGCTTTCTACGTCTTAGATAACCCACCTAAATCATGGAAGGGGGGAAAGGGATTCATCAACAAGGAGCTTCTGAAGACTGTTCTTCCTGAACCCAAGTCCGAGAATATCAAACTCTTCGTCTGTGGTCCACCAGCAATGTACAAGGCTATCTCTGGTGGAAAGGTTTCTCCTTCAGACCAGGGTGAGTTGGCAGGTGTCTTGAAGGAGTTGGGATACTCAAAAGATCAAGTTTACAAGTTTTAAAGAAGTGCTATGATAGATTAGAGACCTGTAAAATAGAGATACCTAGAAATAGATAGACTCGATATTCAGAATGAATAATTATTCGTACATACAATACAATATTCGTAATGAGAAGATTAATCACCCTTTCCGTGAATGATCTCATATTCTCAATATCCAGTCTAACTTCTCTTCTGTTATTCCTCCTGTCTAGAAGCCCTACCAATTTAGTCATCAACATTTCACTAATTATACATCAAAATTCCAATTAATTTTATTCATTTATTATAAAGTTACTAATAAGTAAAAATCGTTATTTTTGATATAAAAGGATGGTCCGAAAATAAAGTACTAGATTTATAAGCCCAGCTCCAATGTAGATATAATCAAATCTGTACATATCCTGTAACCTAACCTTGAGAAAGCCCAATAGAACAACGTGCAAAGTACCACACCGAAATGGCAGCTACAAAAAAGGCACAAGCAGATTAACTACCACTAATCTGTTTAGCACTCCCAAGCGCAGAAGTAAATTGTCCAAATTCCTGACCATCAAAGATCCTCAAATACTCAGCCGCATTTCTCCATCTAGTTTGAAATCTTCTTAAGCAATTTCGGATAATTTCCAACGCTTCTTGTGATTGTGGATTGCGACTTTCTTTCCACGCCCACATATAATGCTGACCTGCTGCCCACAAAGAATCCATTATTAACGGGCTAACTTTATCAAGATCTTGTTGTGCCTGAGCTTGGCTGTTAACGCGCTCTGCAAATTGAACCACGCTTTGTGAGAAATCTTGGAGACCTTTGATGGCTTGATTCATCATGACTCCTTTCTCGGAGGAAGTTGCTGCGCTGCATGAACTATCTGCGGGACAGGAATAGGGATCAAGGAGAGCGATGATTGCGCTGTAAATAATGGCGAGAGGTGTTGCTAACATGAGATAATCTCTAGAGGCGACCGCTTCTTCATTGACTTCACGAGCGAGGACAGAACAGTTTTCGAATAGTTGATATGCTATATCAAAACGAGCTGTCTCCGAGGGAATCTTTTCCGTATAATGGTGACGGAGAACATTTCCCAACAGCACAGACCCTTGGCATAGGCGAGCAAATGGTGTTACAGATTCAGTGAGCGAAGTAGATACAGATCTTTGAACCGTTTGATTCATGTCGCCATTATCCTAAATCCCCATTAGATCGACATTATAGACCTTTACATCCAGAGCTTACCCAGGCAATATCATCAACAGGCAATGGGTCTTCTTCTTTTGGTTCTTGAGTGGTCAAGAGGTGACTTTTGCTTCCTATGGAGACCATCCTATTATATGTTAGCTGCTGACAATGAGACTCAAGATAACAAATTTACCTATCAAGTATAAGAACGCCCCACCAAGTCCGATATCGTTCTTCTTGCTCAGTCCAAGTATCCTGAAAATTAAATCTAGTTAGATATGCAACATGAAAATGGAAGACAATGCTTACAACAGGACCGATCAATTGAGGAGATGTGTCAAAGCCATTGATGCCTAATAAAATAGCATAACGAGAACACCAACCAGCAGACATCCATGCTGCTGGATATATGGCTTGTCCATACTCGAAAAGAGTAATAAGAATGCTAGCTTGTAATAGAATCAATGATACCATTCCAGAGGCTTCCAACAATGCAACGAATCGTTTTGCCGCAATGTACATTGGGTTTTGACGACACTCTTGACCATCTACTGGCTTGGATGTGATGAGCTTCATACAAAGGAATAGCAAAGATAAGTCCGCACCACTATCCCATGGGGAAGTAGTGAGCATTCTTTCTAACCTCTTATGAGATATTATAGGAAGACAGTGGTGAACAGTGCCAAAGTATTCTAGGATAACAGCAGGTATGGGAAGTCCAGTTGCCAGCATTTGATTAACTTCCTATACAGTAACTATTAGTAGATTTCAAGGTTGAATTGACCGCATACAAGGGCATATCCGCACGTAAAATTACACACTTCAAGGAAGAAATTTGGGATTTCAAACGTTTCGTAAAACAAGCATGTCAGATGTATGCTAACTTACTGGTGGCGGGTTCACCGAAGGTCTAGGTACAGGTAAACTGAAACTTGGTCAGCAAAGTAAAATTGACTTTCCGGAAACATTACACTTGCCCTTCATTCCTGAAAATTTCATTATCAAGAACAGCCATAACGGGGAACTTATTTTGTATATTATTGAACGGACTTTCTTGTGGATCTACATATGCAGGCATATGTGGTTGCATATATTCAGGACCACTGCTAGACATTGGGCCCGAAGGTGTAGCATAAGGTGCATGCATATTCCCTCCATTCACTTTAGCTTCAAGTTCAACAAGCTTCATGCGTAAAGCATTGATATCCTCAGCCGTAGGAGCAGGAGTTTGTTCAGTATAATCACAGTGTCGCTGCATTCTGAAGCAGAGACCACAATTTGGAAGTACTTTATCGCACTTTCTTTTTTGTTTTTTACATGTTACGCATGCCTGCGGTGCCTTTCTCTCTAGGACGAGAGGTACGCCATTGGCACCAAGAGGCATGTTATTTGGATCAAGAGGTATGCCATTCGGACCAAGAGGCATGTTGTTTGGACCAAGAGTTAAGATGTTCGATCCATTCGGTCCATGAGGACCAGATGATCCATGAGGTCCATGATTCGGGCCAGTCGGATGATCCATCTTCGGGTCAGCTCTGAGAAAGCTACTTTGTTTGCTGCGGCCGCATAAATCTTGACCCCACTTGATTGATGGAGAGAAACCGGATTCTGATTTTGTGATACACAAATTAGCATATGTTGATGACAAAGGTTAGGAAGAAATTCAATGCGTGTACTTGGTATGGTTTTTGCTTGTTTTTGCTTGTTTGTAATGATTATTTGGCTGATCTACTTGATGATCAATTTCTTGCTATCAAAGTACAAAACAGATTACTTGAAAAGAAGGAGCGGTGTTGTCGGCCGCAGTTTGCTATCAATGGTTTGAGCTCGGACCACAATGACTTTTATCAAGGCGGGACGTGCAGTGAGGGCCATTCACGTGATGACCCCGACGTCAAACACCCGGATCGCTCACTCCTCTATACTTAGTGACTACAATGCGATAGTACAAACGGTGCATATGGAGGATGCTGCACCGTACTAGTCGAATACACTGTCTATGAGAATCTAGTGATGGGGCAACACCATTCTAAGATATCGGTGATCACTGATTCTAAATGCCAACTGGTGAATGAAGTGCATTGCCAGTACAGATCTTTATGCCCGAGCAAGACAAGATCCGGTATATTAAGAGACTATATCTCAATGTTACAAGCATACTAATAAGTTCCAGATCACCCAGAACAGAGGGAATAGCATTGAAATAACAAATATAAGTTTAGTAAAGATGTTTAGACTCTTGTATTAGCGAAGTCGCAATGCAATTAAACAGGATTACATGAGCCAATGTCCAAGTAGATATTTGGCATCTATGGTACGGTATGTCTGAAGGAAAATATTTTGACTAGAGGCGCAGTGCAGAGAATAGCATCTCGCTTGAAGCCGCTAGGAATATTCTTCCAAATGGAATGGGGACAAAAGATGATAATAGATGAAGACTTGTTTATGACCAACTGGACATTATTAGTATTCTCTCGTCCCGTTTATCATTCTATAGCTAGGTACTACAATGAATGCTCGGAAGACAAAAGAGTACGTGGGAATCTCAAGGTCAGAAATGAAAAAGCCTCATTCTCAATCATCTTATCATTCACAAATACATCGATTCATCATGTAAACCCCATCAGAATCATCCGAAGTAACAAGATGATATCAATAATAGCAGCAAACTAATCGACATGTGACTAGCGTCACAAAGGGAGCCGTACCACTAGCGAACTCTAGCGCCCTTCTCTTTAATATAAATAGACCCCTTCTTTTCATGGTGTAATAATTAAGAATGAATAACCACAAATACTGTAATAGTACAATGCAAGTAGCACCACCGGAGCGATACCAACACCAGCAAAATCATTCCAAGCATTCCCGAATCCATCTAGGACTAGCCAGTACATCCAATCACCAACTAATATCCGTCGGCTCAGGGGACTCAGTTAAATCATAGTAAGCTGTAGTTTTCTGCTTCTTATTCGGACTTGCTGGCATCTGTTTATTCGGAGTAGAAACCGCTCCAGTAGGACTAGAAGGTAAAATTGTACGAGGGGCCGCAGCAAAACCAGTGTTATTTGCCTTGGTGGGTATTATCTTAGCGGATGATTGAAGTTCCAAAGTGCTGGCTCCTTCTTCAATTGTACGTTCTTTTGCATCCTGCTGCTTTGTTAATTTTGACTGGTATGAAAAAAATTGGAAGGAAAACATACGATAGATCTTTTGACTTTCCAGAATAACTTCAAGAGCATTAGTTCTTCATTTATAAGCGTTGCTTGTCGATTTTTTTCGGCCTCTGTATACTTCTTTGTGAGGGTTATGGTGAAAATCTGTTTTCTGTGGTTGAATTTGTGACTGATAACTTTAGATTGTTCATTTAACCACTATAAACAGAACAAAAGTTAGTTGATTGTCCTCTTTAAGGCGCTCTCAAGTAAATAGGATAAAAAAAAGGTTACGTACCTTATCCATCTGCTGAAACCATTCTTTTGGAATGGGGTTTCCCTTATCCAAGCTGTGAAGCCCAGATTGTAAACCAGAGGTCAATTTCCTTATAAATTGTAAAGCATCTTTATCATACCCCTCGCCTTCTTCCTGGAACCTTTTTTGTAGATCGTGTGTGAATCGTCGAGTTTCCCTCTCGTTGTCTTCGTAAATTTTGCTCAACTCGGTTGCGATGGCTGCAAGACTGGGACCAAGTGGCTCGTCTTTGATATGCTCAAGGAAGTCATTCAAGTTTTTGTTGATGTCAACTGAGGCTTGTGCTTCTACTTCCCATGTTTTGAGCCTGCGACCATCTGCTCCTTTTGTTGGGATGCTGCTGGCAGGCATTCTTGCTGTTTTTGCTTTTGTTGTTGTTGTGATGGCCGTTTTGTAATGTACGAAATAAGAGGCAGGAGGTGGGTTTGAGTTTTGTCGGATATGCTAGCCGCTCTTCAAAAAGGAAGGATCGATGTAGATAGTTTGATGAACCAATAAACTATTAGACAATATATGAAGAGTATTATGATCCAGAAAGAAACCCGAAACTCCTAAAGACTTGTCGCAATCAGTAAGACAAGTCTGCAAACAATCCAAAAGAAGGCAAATCCCAAGGTTCGAAGGCAAAGAAGCACAAATAGCTTCGATCTGAAGATTAATCTTTGATATTTAGTTTCTTATAAAAGAAGGAAAAGAAATTCAACTTTATAAAGAAATTCCTATAAAAGGAAATAATACCTATACAGTGAATATAGAATTTGCTCAAACCACGTGTTTTAGAGGTGTGTGATGGTATAAAATAGCGATGCGAATATAGCTCAGGTAAGGGATGGAATTAGAATACGAATTCCAGTTTACACCTAGGTACTTTATAATATTCGATCTTTAGATTAAGGATATGAGTGAATAGGTTTATATAAGATTACAATAGCGAGATTTATTACACTTTATACTTATAATCTATAGAAGAGTAGCTGCTTCTTAGAATTCTTAGCATTCTTCGCCTTGACGATATCTTCATGAATTCAGCTGGTACTAGTAGAACTCTCTTATTGGACATGGTCTTTTCTTTCTGCAGACTGCGAGAATGATCATGGTAATGACTGGACTTTGGATATATTATCGAGACCTATTGTTGGGATGCTTTCAAGGGCTTCATTAGATGATATCAGGGATAGATGGTGTAGGAAATAGTTTGTGTGTGTATGTGTTCTATATTTCTACGACATACGTACATGTATCCATACATGATGACCTTTGCAATTGACAAAATACCCAATAAACATCCACAGCAAACACATAGCAAGCAAAATCAGATTAACAACTTAATCATTCACAAAACATTAGTTATTAGACTTGAAAAACATACACAAGCATAAAGATACAATTCAAATTATATTGTTCATAAATGCATTCAAGACATCTAAGATCATCTCGTCTCATCCCTTTATCTATCTCATTCTTCATTCACCCATTCTTATCTCCTTTGCCTTTCCTTGCTCAAAAGTGACATTTCGTGTGCAATATATCCCATGCATGCATCCACCGCCCCTACCATCCTGAATCATCAGCCATAATACAATTTTGGGTGGCTGTGGAAGATATCTAAAGCAAAATTTGGCACTAGGCTTTAAATCATTCTCATAACGCCACGGTAGGAATATGAAAAGACCCAGATGCTAATGAACAAATCCTCAGGTTGAAAATCATGAGCAGGCAAACCCAGAACGCCCGGAGACCATATGCATATTCTTTTTTTAGGCAATGTTGATACATTAAGGAAGGAAAAAGAAAATCAGTTATTCCCACCGCGAGGGGATCTATATCATGTTAGCAAGGGTACCATAATCAAAAGCGATGGCTTGGCTTACGTTGGAGAAAAGTTTGGAGAAGTGGGAGAGTAAGAGGGACTGGTTGGGGAATATTTTGGAGAAGTATTGCTGCCCTGGTGTTGGGGCGAAGATGGACTCCAGTTTGGAGAGGTTGGAGAATAGACCGGACTGGTAGGTGAGAGACCTGAGCCTGGTGATACTTTATTTCCAGCATAATTTGGACTGGTCGGACTATAGTTGGGAGAAGTTGGTGAATAAGACGGTGATGTAGGACTATAAGACGGACTAGTTGGTGACCCATGGATATTAGGAGAGGTTGGCGAATAGTTTGGTGACGTCGGACTATACGAAGGCGAAGTTGGGGACACGAAACTAGGGCTGGTAGGACTATAGGCAGGAGATGTAGGTGTGAATGCAGGACTGACTGGCGAGAACCGAGGCGAAACAGAATATCCAGGGCTTGCACCACCTCCCATCATTGGCGAAGTTGGACTGTAACCAGGACTGGAAGGAGAGAACTGTGGGGAGGTTGGAGATGCGTTGAAAGGACTGGTTGGAGAATAACCACCACCCGGGCTTCTCGACATACCTCCATAAGGACTCGTGCCACCACCAAAGCCGAGACTTCCAACATACTCTGTCGCAAATCCGCTCGGTGTCTCAGAACCAGCACTTTGGATAGGAGAGAATGCAGCACCATAATCAGGTGTACCAAGATAACCACCCTCATTTAGTGGAGATTGGCCATCGTAAGGAGTTGCAGCACCACCTTCACCACCCTTAACGGGAATTCCTGCCATAAGACCCATTCGGCTGTTGTCAGAGATGACAGTTTCCAGCATCTTTGGATCAAGCAGAACATCCATCTCTCCAGTTCCCATAGGAGCAAGCTGACCAAGCATGACGTTCTCGGAAATACCACGGCAGTCGTCCAATTCACCAACTGCAGCAGCTTCAAGCAAAATCTCAACAGTTTCTTCGAAAGAACATCTCATCAAAGCTCCAGTGTCGGCACGATTAATACCGTGACGAGTGATAGCCATTAAGTGACCACGTGATGTCATAATATCAGTAAGAAGAGCAAGATGGCGATGGTTGACATAAGAACCATCAAAAGCCAACACCATTGTCAATTCACGCATCAAGGCAGATCGAGCAGCTTCGATACCGAAGACCTCGAGAACCTGGATGAAATGATTCGAATAGGTTCTTCGAGGATCAACTCCTGGCACAATCAAGACGTCCTTCAAGGATGTTCCACTAGTATCAAGGTACCATTCTTCACAGTCCTTGTCCTCTCTGCTTGCAACCAATCGACCATCAGGCTTCTCGAATAGCTTAACATCCTTGTTCAAGAAAGCTCTGTCAATACCTAGAACACCACGAAGGGTCAAAGTATCGAGGATATGTGCCTCGAGTCGCTTAAGCATGATATCTTCTTCAATATCATCATCATCGTATTTTGAATCGCTCTGCTTGATCATCCGGATACGAATAACTTGTTGCTCGGCATTGTTGTCACTAAAAATGACGGCCAAATCCTTGGGATAATTTTCCTTGATCTTAATAGCAACATCATCGACCTTTAATCCCTTGTCCAACATCTTTTGACGATCAAGAATAAGACGAAGAAGCCATCTGGATTGATTATCCGGCGAATCATGATGCTCTTCTGGAATAATGAAGTAAGACTCAACCATATCAATATCATCTTCAATGGTAGTAGATTGAATGTCAGGGTCGTGGTAGATCTCGGTAGCATATGTAACGGAGCGCAGGGTAGTATGTTCAACAGCACTCCGCAACAACTTGGCAGTCTCCTGATTAGCATTAGGTCCATCCTGATAAACAATCATGGAGGGTGTCTTGATATTCGGAGCGATATTCAGAATTTCCTTAAGACGTGGCACACCAAGAGTAACGTTCTTGGATGAAATACCAGTGAAATGGAAAGTGTTCAAGGTCATTTGTGTGGCTGGTTCACCAATAGACTGCGCAGCAAGCACACCAACCATCTCACCAGGGTTGACCAAAGCTCTAGTGAAACGAGTCTCGAGCTCACCAAGAATGTGTTCAAAAGCAAGCTTGTTGAGGTGCATACCGAGTGCAATACGTTTGTAGGCAAGACGAGATCGGAACTGCGCCTTGATGAAAATTGTGGCATTATATTGAGCTTCAACAGAAAGCTCGTCAGTTCCACGGACAATGATCATACGGTCGAGTAACTGCTGCACTCTTGGGATCACATCTCTGGGATGTAAATCACTGCGCTTTCCGTCATCAGTCTTGAACAATCTCTTTGCGCTGTCGATAATACGGATGATATTCAAAGGAAGTTGGAAGTGATCGTCATCCTTCTCCTTGGTTCGAGAGTGTACGAAGTCTCGAAGAATTCTTCTGTCCTCTTCCAGTGCAGCAAACTCTGCATCAAGCAGTTGTTGCGTCTCAAGATCTCCGTATAGTTCGTTTGCATGCTCCAGGACATCTGTTGAAATCCGCTCCGACATAACTTCAAGTTTGAAAAGATCATTGAATGCCTTGTTACTGATGTTGATATGATCCATTTTTTGATTCTCAAAAATGACACCGTCTAGACCATCTTCACCATAGACGAACTGAACAATGTCACCAAGTGAGTTACGGACAGTACCATCATATTTAGCCATAACATCCTCAAGAGCTTTGACAAGACGACGTTGAATATAACCAGTTTCTGCAGTCTTAACCGCGGTATCGATCAAACCTTCACGACCAGCCATGGCGTGGAAGAAGAACTCTGTTGGGGTGAGACCCCGCAAGTATGAGTTCTCGACAAAACCTCTCGATTCTGGGGAATAATCGTCCTTGGTGAAATGTGGAAGAGTACGGTATTTGAAACCGAAAGGAATACGTTTACCTTCAACAGACTGTTGCCCCACAAGGGCAGACATCTGAGAAATATTGATAGTAGAACCTTTAGAACCAGAGCGAGCCATCTGTACAGCATTGTTGATATCCAACAATCCATCCTCGGTCTTTGTACCAGCTGTGTTACGAGCCTCGTTCAAAGCTTTGGAGACTTGACTCTCGAAGGTTTCACGAACGTTCATACCAGGAAGGGATTCAAGTTCGTTACTAGTAGCCTTCTCAACAAGCTCTGTGACTTCAGCCTTCTGCTTAGCGATAGCCTTCTCAATCTGCTCAATGGTCTCTTTGTTGGGAATCGTGTCACCAATACCGATACTGAAACCATTATGAAGGAGCCAATAATTAATAACTCGCTGGCAACCGTTGAAGAAGGCCATTGCAGCATCAGGACCTTGTTCATTGAAAACAATATGGACAATGCCATTGCCAGAAGCTCCTACATTCTTCTTGGCCATAAGACCATACATAAGTTGTCCCTCCTGGATCAAGCAACCGTCATCGTTCAATGGCGCATGCAAATGCTCCTTATCCTTGCTGGCGTTGTAGGAGTTGACGATCTTGGGGATGATCAAACTGACAATTTGCTTTCCCGTCCATCGAGGACGTGGCTTAAGTATAGCAGGTTGGGGAATGACGCCGTCCCAGTCTGGAACCCATAGCAAGATGTTCATCAAATGTTCTTTTGTTATGAAAACGTCTCTCCTACAGATCTTGTAAACACCGGCCAGTGTATCTTGAACGATACCCATGAGAGGACCGTTTCTTTGAGGAGAAACAATGTTAAGCGGCACCATGCAGAGATTCATGACCTCGGCACGAGTCTCGTATGTTTGTGGAACATGCAAGTTCATCTCATCTCCATCGAAATCTGCGTTATATGGTGATGTGACAGACAAGTTAAGACGGAAAGTGGAGTAAGGCATAACACGAACTCTATGACCCATCATAGATTCCTTGTGCAACGATGGTTGACGATTGAAGATAATGAAATCACCATCAACAATGTGCCTCTCAACCTTCCAACCATACTCAAGTGAAATTGCACCTGCGCGCTTGTGATGACGAAGATCAATACGTGTACCATCCGATCGGATGACATACTTGGCACCAGGATGCTCATCTGGACCATTTTTGACAAGTTGATGCAATTTATCGATGTTTAGCGGTGTAACGGTCTCCGGATATGTGAGAATTCTGGCAATGCTTCGAGGAACTCCGACCTCATCTAGAGAAAGATTGGGATCACCCGTAATAACGGTACGAGCAGAAAAGTCGACACGCTTTCCCATCAAATTTCCACGAAGACGACCTTCCTTACCCTTGAGACGAGCACGAATGGATTTGACAGGCCTACCCGACTTCTGCAGAGCTGGTGGTTGACCAGCAATATCGTTGTCCATGTAGGTTGCGACGTGATATTGCAACAGAGTTTCAAAATCCTGCAGAATGTGCTGAGGCGAACCTTCTTGTTGTGCTTGCCGAACATTACCATTGGCACGAATGATATCGCCTAACTTGTATGTCAAATCATCCTCTCCTCGCATACCTTGGCCAGTACCATCCATGGAAATACTCGGTCGAACAGGAGGTGGTGGTACTGGAAGAACGGTGATTATCATCCACTCAGGACGAGCATAATCTGCATTCAATCCAACATCCTGAATTTCAGCAGTAGACATGCTGCGGAAGACGTTGAGTGCCATATCCGGAGTGATTTGTCTTTTGTCAGGCTGCACAGCCTCTCCGTCTTCATCCTTAGGAGCCTTCCAAGTACCCCAGAGGGCCAGAGCAGTTTGACGAACTTCAGGCTGGATATTGCCACATCCCCCATGAGATTTCTTGGCAGCTTCCTTTGGATCTGCGTTAAATTCCTCTTCGTTCATCTGAACGTCACTATCACAAATCATCTTAGTCTTGCAAAGCTTCCATATAGCCTCGAATCTGCGCTTGGGATCACGGATAGTAACGGCTGCCTTGTAAGCTGGATTGCTCTGATATTTTGATGTTAGCATCAAGGTTCATGAAACAAACCACCTCAAACAGGTAGTAAACTAACCCTGTCTAGTTTAACTTTACCACAATTGTGGCAGACTATCTCCAAGAGCTTCTTTGTCTTTTTCAAGAAACCAGGATGGTAAACAGGTTTGGCCAGTTCGATGTGACCGAAATGACCAGGACATTCCGACATATTTTGATCACAAGTAGCACATTTAAATTGTCTGTCAATGGAACCGAGTCGGGGATCATTAAGACCTTGCTCTCTTGGCTTCATCTTACTCTCGTCCATAGTCTCAGGATACAAAATATGAGCTACACTCATATTTTTGATCTCCTCGGGAGAGAAGAGACCAAATTGAATCTCCTGGATAGTCCGTAATGGCGCATCTGAATGCGCAAAATTAAGATTCGCCATACTGGCGGATGTTGTTGACGTTTATTAAAAAATTGGTTTAAGTTTAAAGGTCAAAAGCAAATGTGGCGACGAGCGGTATAAGAAGTAATCCACCACTGTACCAAATGTTGCGACGCGATTTTTATCTCGAAAATATGTTCTCAGTAATTCGCAGAAGAACTATATCGTAAAAGAAGCAAGTCTATGTGCAAAACGGATAGGATGTTGATATTGCGATCGGGAGGGCGAGGCCAGGCCTTCGGCCTGAGGACAATTTTCGATTTCTCCGACCGGGAGGACTCGATCGATCTGGCGACGTTGTCTATAAAGGAGTGTGTACAGTTTCTTCCTCTTTAGAAAGACCAGCGATGAGGAATCCACGTCTTTTGGTGCGATTCCACAAACTGTCGGGATGTTGTTGATGGTGGTGGATGGAATTCGTAGAGACGAGGTTCCTTTGATCTGTCGCGAAAGAAAGCTGAGGCTACCGGATAACCCGCTTAACCAAGTATAGTTAGTCCATGAGTTTATTGTTGTGAGCCAATGATAAACGAGATGTGGCTGATGATTTGTTTCAAACATTCAACCCCCGCCAAAAAGCTTAAGACTCATTCGGTCAGAGAAGTTGACGGGAACAAAAAAGGGGAGAAATTTTACATTTTGAGAAGTTTACAAAGAAATACAAAATTATTTTCTTTGATGATTTCTCTAACTTACTACTAGCTACACTTCAGAAGCTAGACTTGGACATTAACTCCTTTCTAGCAGGTAGCTCCCTAGTACCTGGATCGATATATCTGAAGTAAGACCCTCGGGGAAGTTCGAAGGGATATATACTAGGTAAGTAAAATACTAGGTAATTTTTCTTTGATTGGTTTGCTGCTACTGGATAAATAGATGGTGAGGTCAAGCTTCTACTGAGTCTTACACTGCCGGTAGTCAAATCGCTATCAGAAGTCGAAGCTTTACTTTCAATATTCTCTCTCCCCCTCAATATCATAAATTCCCAATACCCTAATTCTCAGTCTTATGATCCATACGTATCCGGACAGCACACAAGATGATGTGTTCAATTTATCTTTATCTCCACTTTTCTATTTCTTTCTGTGTGGGATTATACTTGATGCTCCCTCCAAAAAGAAAGCTTCAACACTTGCCTGTACAGAGCTTGAGATGGTTTCAACATTGGATTGTGAAGCTTGTCGATACTTTTCCATGCAGTCCTCTGGCAAATACCCGGTGTCAATACAAGTTTCATTCATCAGTTCGTGTTTCTATGTTCAATTTCAGAAAAAAGAAGTCTAGAATTCACTGCCATGATCAAATCCCTATGTCCAGAAATCCATTGTACCAATAGCGTTCATAATACATCCACCCCATTATTTTTGTTCAAGTTACCACCAATTACCTTTTCTATCCAGTCCACACGTCCATTGCTTATGCCCCCTTATTCCCATCCCATCCCACGCTGCCTAGAATCCCCATTTCCCTCCACAAACCCAACGCCTACTTCATCGTAACGATCTCCTCAGCACTCGTCGGATGGATCGCCACACAAGCATCAAAATCCCTCTTCCTAGCCCCCATCTTAACCGCCACAGCAAACCCTTGCAACATCTCGCTCACCCCTAGTCCTATCAAATGCAACCCCACAATTCTCTCCTCCTCCCCCTCGCAAATGATTTTAAACTCGGTCGGTAAATGTTTCTTTTCTTCCGCCGGAAAGAAATCATAAAACATAGCTGCAAACTTCGTGTGATAGATTTTGAGATTGCCGGCCCCATACTTTTCCAAAGCTTGCGGTTCGGTTAGCCCAATGGTGCCGACTTCGGGATGTGCGAATACGACGCTTGGAACAAAGTTGTAGGAGAGCGCGGATTGTGAGAACTGAGCGGGCCCAAAGAGTCGGTTGGAGAGTTGACGGCCAGCCGCTATTGCAACTATTATTTTGTTAGATATACCGCATTTCATCATCCATAAGATTGTGTAAAGGAATACATGCCAGGCGTAAGCTGTAACTGAGCCGTCACATCCCCCAAAGCATACACACCCTCCACATTAGTGTTCTGAAACCCATCCACTCTAACGTGTCCCTTCTCATCCGTCAACACCCCGGCAACTCCCAAATCCAAGTCCTCGGTATCCGGGCTCCTCCCCACTGCCCAAAGCACTTCATTAACAACGAAGCCTTTCCCGTCATCCCCATCCCACCTCAAATTCAACACCTTTTCCTCCGCCGTTTTCTTCCCACTAAACATTTCTACTCTTGCAAAGTTCTTATATCCCCTGTGAATGATAATCCCTGCTTCCTGATATGTCTTCGTCATCGTCTCTGAAATCATTGGGTCGAATTTTCGCAAGATCTTGTCGCCTCGTATGAACATATGTACTTCGATTCCTCCAAGAGCATTCAACATTCCCGCCATTTCAACCGCTATATATCCCGCACCAACAATTGCTATCTTCTTGGGTAATTCCTCGAGCCCGAAGAATCCATCACTTGTAATTCCAAATTGCGCTCCGGGAATCTCCGGAACAATTGGTTTGCCTCCAGTGGCTACGCAGATATGTTCAGCTTTGAATGTTTCAACGCCCGTTCCATCTACTAATTCAACAGCGATAGTTTTCGCAGCAATGAATCTGGCAGCTCCACGAACGAGAGTAATCCCCTCCCGCTCCCAGTTGGTTTCGTAGCCACGATTAAGACCGGCGATGTTGGCGTCGCGTTTTGCTTTGAACGCGGCGTAGTTATAAGGGATATTGGAAGGGGTTTCATAGCCGTAGTGTTGGCTAGCACGAAGGGCTTCAGACATAGAGGAGAAGTTCCAAGTGTGTTTCTTGGGGACACAGCTACTTGTTGTTAGTGTTTGTCCTTCATAGACTTATAAGATCATCAGGAGGAAAATTCCTTCGCAAATCTAAAAAGCGGATATCAAATGACAAATAGATGTTTTCCTAACTCAAGTACACCCACCACTGTGTCTCATCCTTGGTACACTTTACAATAACTTTAATGCATCATCCCAAGTCACTCGACTCAATTTGCTCCAATTCTCCCTCGGAAGCTGTGTGTACAGCTCCATTCGGCGCAATCCAAACACAGAAGAAACACTTCCAATACTCACCCAACATTAACACAAGTCCCACCACTCTTCCCACTCTCCACCAAAGTACCTTTTTCCCCATCCCCTTTATCCTCGGCGCCGCGGCTCTCCTCGCCGTCCCACTCCCACCGCTACCACCGCCGATGACTATATAATCAAACTCTTGCACTGCCCCCCTAATTGGAAGTGCCGTCATTTTCCTGCTCAATCCAGCCCTCGAAATCGGTAGTGCCGACTTGGCTACGGATGAAATTGCTGATAACGTGGTTGCGGAGGAGGTTGGGATTGATGAAGATGGTGTACCAGCACTCAGTGAATTTGAAGATACGGCAATGAGATTTGTGGGTGGTATCAGTGTTGTTGTCGTGATTGTAAGGGAAGGGGGACTTGGACGATTTTTAGACATGGTAGGAGGAAGCTCTTTATCACGTTCTTTATGTGAGTGAATTTGGAGTGAGGGGTAAGTTCCTGGGTGCAGCCACTTTTCCCTGGATGGGCAAGACGGGAATGTAAGACGAATAGGAATTCAATATGGTTGGAGGATCAGGAATGAACGTGTTGGTATGTAAGCGATTTGCAGGCTTGAGGTGTTTCTGTACAACCTCGAGAAGTTTCGGACTGTTTTGGAGAACTAAAAACGAGAGATATATGTCTTGAATAAATACTTTATGCGAAAATTGTGAGATAAGATAACGAAGGAAGTGCTGGATGAACTTGTTGCTAGATTATTATTTTCTCCTAATGTGTAAGCTATTAATTGGCTGTATGTATGTGCAGCTGCATATGATATGCAAGTCAGTTCGAGGTACCCCACCAACGCTCCAAACCACATCCTTCCACCTACTTTTCCTAAAAACGCCATTTGCCAACAAAAGTAGAAGGATAAGACGAATCAACGTCTTCTGCCTTTCTTCCTTCTAGGCTGTTCGTCCGCACTTCCGATTGCTTCTGAATCAAGCTGGTAATTACGTCCATCCGATGGACTCTTCCTTCTCATTTCACCCCTTCCAACAGCTACAAACTCTTCTTCGCTCTCGGTGTCGTCACCATCGAGTTGTACTGGCATCCTGAACGCATTATCTTCGTCGACAACATCCCCCTTGACTGGCTCAACCGTTAAGACATCTATATCATCGTCCTCAGCATCCAATCTTCTTTTGTGGATCTCTTCCTGTGGATGAATGTCGAATTCGTCCTCCCTCTCAATGTACTCAACATTCTCCTCGACCTCCGCAAAATCAGGTGCCAGGGCCGACCATCTCTGCTGCGGAACGATCGACCAAATATGTATTCTTCCAGACTCCAAACCACATGCCGCTATCATAGGCTTGTGTGGATGCCATTCAACTACTCCATGCTCTTCCTTGGGTCCCTCCAAAATCTTCACCAGACTTCCGTGGTTTCTTTCCCAGATGTAAATATCGTGATTGTTGAAAGTCGAAGCCGTCACATATTCCCCTGTCGCACTAAATGCCACATGGTTCCAACTCAGCCTGTTTACCACGTCTTGAAATTTGTGCTCGACCTCGATATCTATCGTATCGGGGTCCAGATCCTCTGCTGATAAATTCGGTATTTGTATCGTCCGAATAATCCTGTCTTGGGCATTAACCACTACGTCCCGCCCAGAAGTCGTAAGTCGCATATAAAGTAACACCCCTGTGCATAATTTCGTGGAGTAGATCACTGTCCTACTAGCCACCTCTATTATATTTAGCCATCCCTTATTAGTACCCGAAAGTATATGGTCTCCAGATGCGGTGAAAATAGCGACTGTAGTAGTTTGTGGTGCGATGGGTTTTGATTCGTCTTCTCCGTAGACGGTTCGTTTTTTGATCGTAGAAGGTAGGATATATTTTACCACTTCTAGGTTTGTCAGATCTACCAGTAACGGCGGATCTTCAAATAATGAGACCAATATCTTAAGACTAGAAGGCGCAAAAATGATCAGTCTCCATTGCGAGGGTAAAGATCAACCCATATTATTTGACTCACTGTGTCCAAGGATGAAATTCTGCCAAATATACCGGTGCTTCGAATCGTACAGTCCTTACAATAGTCCCATCCATCAAATCCCAGATATTGCACGTCCAGTCCTGACTTGATGTAAGTAAGAATCTGCCATCGCGCGACCAACTCAATGATTGCACTTGTCGGGTGTGCCCTTTCAGCTTTCGCGCTATACCGTTGGTTTCGACATCAAAAATCACGACGGTGCCATCGGTACGCCCTGCGGCAAGGAAATCGCCTTTTCGATTAAAGCGCACGCACGAAGCATGGCCGCTACGGAGAGTGAGTGTAGATGATTCGGGATAATCTTGTGCGAGAACGAAGGGATCAGTCAGTGACAAATTCATAATGCTGGCAATCGAGAAGTGAAAAATAGCAGAAGTTCGAGATGCAGGAATCTCAGCCTCGCTTTGAGGAGGTTCAACAAGGCTGGCAAGCGTGATCACCAATATTAGCCTCGATCAGCCGCCCGGGCATACCTATGTTATGTACTGTTGATGGTTTTGATTCCGCCTTGCGATAGAAATTGAGTGAGAATTTGATTCATGCACGTATGTACAATTTGAAGAATGCGTTGTGATTCTTGGGGTTCTTTCATGACGGTGTTGAAGCTTAAACGTTGCACATCAGACAAAGCCAATTCTAATACAACAAAATATACTAATCTACAGTACTTGCGCACAGCTGTTCGTCGTTAATCAAAATCACACCAAAAATCGTCATTTTATTATATTTTCAATTAAAGAGAAATCCTATATAAAATCATTACAATTAATTAGAAAATTGAAATATATATTAATTATATATTAAATAATTAATATTTTCAATTTTTATTATTTAATTAAATTCCAAGATCATATTTTATATTATCAAAAAAATTGTTTTAAAAAGTTTTTGATTTTTATTTATTTTACTAGTAAATTTTTATATTTTGAAATTCTTATAATTCGATTTGAAAAATGATAAGAAAGAAAAAGTTTCAAAAATAAATTATATAATTTTTTATAAAATAAAAATAAAAATAAATAAATCAATAATAAAAAATTTCTATTTTATTAATTTTAAAAATAGAATAATTTAAGTGTTTTGTATGAGTTTTGGTGTGATTTTAATGAACGACGAACAGCTGTGCACGGTTACTGTATATGACATTAATTTAAAAAAGAAATTGAATAGAATCTGATTTAAAAACGACAGCCAAAAATCCCCCATTCAGTCATTATTACAACACCGTAAATTGTACACCTCATGCTATCTCACCTAATACGATGAGCATCCATTCTTGCAATTAGTGTATCCTGGGAAACTGTTGAATGTGCTTTGGTCGATGCTTTTCAGTTGTGCATAGCCCAAACTAAGGAGACGTTGCGTAACAATATCTGAGAATGGCTGAACGGCATTCACAATGCTTGTAAGAGTACCACGAGCAATATCAGGAAGTGCTGCTTGAGCGGCCTGAAAGACGAAACATTCCAAGTTATTTCCCTCAAGTAAAGTTCCACTTTCAAACACACCGTTAATCAAAGATCGAAGATCGACGGGTGTAAAAGTATTTGGCTTGCCGGTATTTCCACCAATATTCAGAAGAGGTGGATATTGCTCTGCAAAGTCGAGGACGTCAGCAAGAGAGCTGGCAATGGAATATTCATCACCAATAGCTCTCTTGTACCAATTATCTGGGATTCGTTCATGGCCAGGAGCATATTGGAAGTTGTCAGACTCGCCAGTAATGGCGAAGAAAGACATCAAGTCACTTTTTGTCAACGAGCCCTTCGGAAATTCTGCAGATTTGTTGGACATCATTCGAACTGGGAAGTTGTAACCGGCAAGTGAGACGAGTACACCGGCAGAAGGTGGAGAGAAGAAGTACGGATTCGTCGTAATAGAGTTATTGAAGCGGTCAATTCTGAAGTTAAGAAGTCCTTGATATTGTGCATCGGCACCAACCCCTCAATTAAGACATCATAGTACTTTTGAAACAAATCGACCTCAAGATTGAAGGATTTTCCAGCCAAGTAAAGATCCCGACGAGTTGGAGAGGTGTCGCTTTCGTACTTGTTGTGTGAGCCAGAAATTCCTCGAGGCTGTCCGGCAAGACCCAAGAGATTGCCCAAAGGAAGAGCATTATTGGCTGTTGGTCCACCAATCGACCAAGCTATAGGAGGTTAGCATCCGCCCATGAAAAAGAACATTCAGACATGCCTAGCAAGTTGCCATCGAACACGGCGCCATAGATGCCGAGAAACCCTCCAAGATCCAACGACATGCCAAAGGCAGTGTTGGTACCTTCGATAAAATCGCCAATGGTTCCAACACCATTGTGGGAAATATATCCATGGTTTGCTGCAGCATTGAATCTGGGGCAAGGAAGGGCCTCTAGCATCTCCTGCATCAAAGTCTGGTGGAACGAACGCATTCTTTCCGGTCGTGCTAACGTACTGCGATGCAGCATCAAAACCAAAACGCTTTTGCAAAGGGTCTCGCGCAGCTGAGCTTCGTTTGCCACGCTATGCCTTTGCGAGTTTTTCAGCATATTCAGCGGCTATCCTGGGGTACGAAGCGACTTCAATGGCAGCAAACGCTAATAGAGCGACAGTAGTGGCTACCTTCATTTTTGTATGTTAACGTTCGAATATAGGAGAGGATTTTGTAGAATAGATAGACTGCTTAAAGACAAAGATGACTGTAGTTGAGTTAATGTAAAGGAAAAGATGAAAGGAGTTTTGATACTTATATCTGTATATCTCCATACTTCAATCGCTCCACAGAATCAAGCTGTGACGGTATATACAAATTTCCTAGCTATGGGAATAAAAAGGACCTATCAGATGAAATTCTATTTGATTTCTAGATGCTTGAAGCAAGACCAAGGATGAGATCATCACTTTCTACGTTAAGGAACACGCCCAGCGATCGACACAGGTAGGAGTAATGTAATATCTCCATTTAGATGCTGGTCATTGGTAAAAACACAATTGAATTAACGGCTGGCGACTTGTCGCCTCTGACGTCGATTGACAATTTGGGAGATCTACATACCAAGTATGTTCGTTACAATGTGCTTATATGCTAGCCACAATGCGCCAAAGATGTCCTACGAAAAGGTCTGGGACTGAGCATTTGGCATCCAATGATTTTGCGGATAGGATACAATACTAACCAATCAAAAACTTTGACCGACAGGTGGGAAGCCATACAGTAGTATAGTGCGGTATTTCAGAGGCATCCTTGGCGTGCAACTATCCTTCGAAGTGCCTGGAATGTTACTGCAATCAGAAGTTTCGATATCAGTTCCGAGTACACTAGAACAGATTGATAAGATTTCTTCAGCGCGTGTTCAATATTATGACCCTGAGCTGGGTGTGATTGAATGGTTACCATGTAGAGGCCAAGTATGTTACCAGTCATTCAGCCGGATTCTAATGTGTGACTGTGATGCAGCTTTCACCGGCCTGCAGGAGCAATAGTTAATTTTTCGATATTGATATCCTTGTGATTCCAACGTTGAAAATGTCACCGACTTATCAGAGAAACTTCCGACGATGTATGCAGTAGGTATTGTGAGAAAGTTGGAATTATAGGCCAAATACATAAAGGTTTTAATTAGTCAATCATATGACCTTTTGTAATTAGATATAAAAGAAGAGCCTTTTGCCTCTTCTTTTCACAATAATCAATCTTTTATATATATATATTTAAATCTATATAATATCAATCCTAAATCCATTATGAACCCTGTTTTATCTATAAATGATATATTATAATATAATCTAATTCAGTTTTCTCTTTTAATTCCCTCTTTATAATATACTATCAGGATATATATATTTCGACCTATTATTTTTATAATAATGATTTACACAAGAAAATTGAACTATATCGTTTGTAAAATATATAAAACTAATTTATAAGAATATTATATTGAAAAAGAAAGTAAAATTAGTTGTTTATTGATAAAAAGATAAAATAGATTCTGAAAAAATGAATCTTTCAAAAATAAAAGTGTTAAATAAAAGATAAGGGAGATTTGGATTCCTAATTATCTTCATTCTTGTTAACTTATTATATTATAAATAAACGATTTATTATCGATTTATTTATTTATACTTTATATAGAAGGTTTATATTAATAAAGTTTTGTTTAAAATCAGATTTTAATGGTTTACAGAAATAGAAAAGATTTGATTTTGAAATAAACTTGATAAAGTGTAACTAATCGGATTGAAGAATCTTATATATCTTATGATTGGATGAAATATCTCGTTATCTATTTATAAGATAATACTTAGAAGGATTGGATTGTAATATATAGAATTATTATCCCTAATATCAATATTCAAAAATTTGGGATATGTTTTAAAAAACTTTTAAATGAAAAGTTTAGGTTTTATATAATCCTTTTATAAAAAAGAATATTCTTAAAGAAATTATTTAAAAACTTCTTTATCTTTTCTGAATTTTACAAAAAGAAAAATATAAATAATAAAGATTATCAAGAATTTAAAATTGATTTAGATTTAGATATATTTGATATACATCTTTTGATTCAATAATTATATAAATCAAATCTATTATTATTCAAAATTCATTACTATTTTATTATTATAGAAAACTCTAATCAATCTAAAATTCGTTCAGAAAATATTTCTCAAAAGTTTTCGGAAATATCTGCTTCTTATAATTTTAATAAGAAATCTTTTGTTGATTTAAAAAGAGATTATATCAGAAAAGATGAAGATGATTTTAGGAAAAGGAAAGTTAAGAAAATCAAAAACAATAATAATATAAATCAATTAACGAAAGTTTATATATCAGATCGAAATATTATAAATTATATATATATATATTTTGTTATATTCTATACAAAAAGCTTCAATACTTCTATTTTTAATAAAAACGATATCTTTGATTTCTTTATAATATAAAAGGTTTTACAAATTGATTATAATATATTCAATAACAAAATATAAATTTGTCTTCCTTAATATTATAACAAAACTATTTTAATTCAAATAAAACTTATATTAAAGTATAATCTTATTAATTATAATTAAAAAAAGAGATTTTATTTAGTTTTCTTTCATTATTTTTACAATTTCGATACTTAACAAATTACTAGTATTTGTGATTTTTTGGATTAATTTATCGATATTCAATAATCTAAATATAAGATATTTTATAATACAAATCCAATCTTGATTAAGAATTATATTATTAAATTCGTTTTTTCTATAAATCAATTCATTGAAAATAAAATGATCATCGAATTTGAAATAAGAAGATTTTTTCTATATAATTTATATATACAAATTGACAAAAAAATTGTTAGAAGTTTTAAAGTTGATTTTAATAATTTTATTATTATGAATTATAAGAAAATAATAAATGAAACCTTTAAATAATATATATCGAAAAATTCTATTATTAAGATTTATAAAAGATTTAAATAATATTAGATTATAATTGTATTTATTATAAAAGAATATATAAAGATATTATTTTCTAAAGAAGTTATCTTAAATTTTGATATTCAAAAAAGAATTGAAAACGAATCAATAAACAAAATAACAAAACTCTTGAATAAATTAAATATAAATTATTTATAAACTCGAATTAAAAGTATTAGAAATATAAAGAATATTTATATCCCTTTTTAATAACAAATATTTCAAAAAGAAAAGAATATTAAATATAATAAATTTCTGATTTAAGAAAACTATAATTTTATTTATATAAATATAAATATTATTAATAAGAAAAATTGGTATTATTTTTATTATTTTAAATAAACTCTTTATAACAATAATTATAATACTAAACAAAATTATTCTATTATATATAAAGATATTCAAAATAAATTGTATCATTATAATAATTATAGAATTTTCAGATTTGAATTAAAAGGGAATCCTAATATATCTTCGATCTTTAAAAACAAACTTTATTTTGAAAGATAATAAATCATAATACAATCCAGAATATATAACAATACCAAATTTCGATAAAATGATATAGAATCATCAAGTAATTAAGGATCTCTGAAGATTAATGTTTCAAATATCGATATTATTAAAGGTATATTTATTAATAACTTTATATATAAAGGAGAACAATTGACTAATATCAATATAATTTCTTAATTAAAAGAAACAATTAGATTATATAACCGATCTTTTAAACAAGCAAAAATAGTAAAATGAAGTAGAATTGAAAAATCATCAAAACCTATTACTTTTATATTACAAATCCTATAAAGATCGATATTATTAATTGAAAGAATAAAATTGGAAAAGGATTTCCAAAGATAAAATAACGAAATAGATATTGAAGAAAACCTTAAAAACAAGAATGAGAAAGAGAAAGGATTATCCGAATCGAATAAAGAAGAGATTATAAAAGAAATACGATCTCTTTATAATAGAACTCCGAAAATCAAAAAGCAATTATTCATTTCGATATATATTATAAAGATAATAATAGATTTGTTAGAATATATTGTTTATATCAAAATCTTTATATTCATCAATAATCTGTATATCTATTATCTAGAATTGATTAAAGAAATGATTAAACGAATTCCTATTAAAGAATATGAAAAGCAAAGAGAAGTTAAAAAAGAGATAACTAATTTTATGAGATAAATATTATTGGTATTTATTAATCTCAATATAAATAATATAGATATAATCCTTATTAAATAAACCTTCATTATTGTAATCAATATCAATAATCTAATAAACAAATTAAACTTTTATTCAAAAGAGATATATAATATATCAATAATCATTATTTTATTTATTAAAAGGAAGATTAAAATCATTGATATTATTGATTCTGAATCGATAATCAATATAATGAACTTAGAAATTACGAAAGATTTAAACCTTATAATATAAGAGTATAATATTATAATGATAACTTCAGATAGAAATATAACGATCTGGTCGGGGCAGCGGCTGCCTCAGGTTTTCATATGATTGGTAATTGTAGGTTAAGGCTAATAATCATTGATTATTCACTCGAAGGTGAATATGTTACTAAATCAATTGGAATGTAGGTAAACTAATTGATAATTAAATTGAATATGAAGCTTTTAAATTATGAAACTATTCTGATTATATATTAATGAATGTAAAGGAGCTTTGTGAAGCTTTAAAACTCCAAAAAACTTTTAGAGCTTTAAGAGCTTTCAAAGCTTCCAAAACTTTTTATCATATGATTAGAATCAGATTATATATCCGAACTTGTTAAAGATAAGAAGACTATATAAAATGATTATTATACAAATTTGTATACGAATCGTCTTGCTTTTCAATAAAGCTTAAGTTTATATAGATATATTGATTATTGTTTTTTAATATATCCTTATCTTAATTATAAATCATAATATTATCCCCTTCTTAACTAAATATTATCTTAATCATTTATAACCCTTTGGATTTTATTTGATAATTAATATTTTTTCTTCTTTTATATTCTATTTATCTTTTTTTCTTTATTATAAACAATTTTGATTCTTTCAATAATTTAATTTGAAGAAAGAAAAAGGAATATATATATTTAATTATAATTATCGATTCTATTGATATTGAAATGATTTCTTGTTTTTATTATTGATAAGAAAATTGTTATTATATTAAAGATCTCTTTAATAAATATTATTTGTATTATTCGGAATATATACAAAATTCTGTTTCATATAATGCTAAGTTTTGTTTAGAAGATAATTGAAATTGTAAAATTCTTTAAGAGTATAATTAAAAAAATCTTGATCGACAAATTGATAAATTGGATATTGAAATCATT